CCTCCCCTACCCCTACCTATCCGTCTCAAGGCCGGCTTTCACACATCACTAGTTAACAACTACTGACGTGATAAGAACTGCAGCCAGTGAGGAATAAAAGAGGGCTTAACCTGGTGCGGTGCAGTATATAGTGAGGTGCAGTACAGTGTGGTATGGCACGGTTCTCAATTACCAACACGTAGATAGCGAGTTCATCATCAATCATCGATCATCGATCAAAAGGAACGCTCAGGATGCATGTCTACGCTCCTCCCGCTCTCGCGCCCATCTCCGGAGGCATGGCGGGGATAGGTGCGCGACGTGCTATGCTACGGACGCGAGGGATGGGAGGGGATGTGATTTCCATAAGTCACGGAGTGGATCTAGAGTTGAGTCGAGTCGGGTTGAGTTGGGGAGGGAAGAGAAAAAAGGAGGGAGGGAGGGAAATGAGAAGCGCGAAACAGGGGAGGTGCCCGCTTGAGAAAGAACAGCCCAGAGACACATGACGAGTCAGGAGTGGAGAACCACCTGCTCAAAAGGGGACGGTGTTGCATGTATTGATGGACGATGAGGAGAATGAGAAGATGCAAAGACGACGGGGACGGAGTGACAGCGAGAGGTAGTAAATGCTGCGAGACGATTCAAGTTGGAGAGGAATGGAATGATTGCCACCTCGCCTTTTGCATTTCGCACCTGCACGTGCATTTCTCTTCCAGGTCCTGCCTGTCAAGTTTCCGTAAACAACCTTGTAAACTGCATGATACCAGCTGCCGGTGTTTTATGCGCCCGCCCGTCAAATGGAAATTGGAATCAGACAGATTTTGCTAGCTCCAAACGGGACGCCATCGCTCAACATACCTCGAAGAAGTCGAAAAATGAAGAATAAAAAAAAGGCTCGCTTTCGTAGATGCTGGAATCGCAGCCCAGGGCAAAAAATTAAAAGCGAGAACGCAACGCAAACATGATACGACAAACAGACCATCGCGCTGAGGCCACTGCACATGTGCGCTAGAAGCCCAGAGTATGCAGATAAAAGGAATCTCGTGGTCAGATCCATCCTCTTCTAGGATCCTCTTCTAGGATTCCAGACTCCGATGAGGTGTATGCGCCACGGTATGAGAATCTCGGCCGCAGCACGAGGACCTAGTAGCATGGATACCCTCACTTCAGACCTCACCGGAGTGTTCCATTGAAAATGGGGTGACAATTCTCAACCAGGAACTGCACCGCCTCATTCTTGACCTGCATATCCGTCATCTCCCTCGCCAAGCTCTCTGGTCTCATGATCGTAGGCGCAAACACAACTGCAATATTCATGCTCGTCATGAGATTATCCTGTTCGTAGCTTACAACCCTCTTCAGATGGAAGACCAAAAACTCAAGGACCTCCTTGTGCACCCTTGGCAAGCCGGAGATGGAGGTAGTTTCGAGGAGTTTGTCATAGACTTCGTATGTGACGAGTGGGTTGGGAAGGCGGCGGAAGTACTGCTTTAGCGTTGAGGAGACGGCATGGATGTCTAGATCTGGGTCGGAGATGTCAAAGTTTTGTTGAGGAGAAGTCTCGAAACCGTCTTTGATGACTTGTACTTGGCTGGCACCACCGGCTTTGCGGTAAATGCCCTCTATGTCCATTCCTATACCTGTAAGTATGACACGGTTGGTAGGGATACATACTACTTACCTCTTAGCTCGACTTCCTCGATACATCTTCTCACGATGAATGGAATGAATGTCTTCTCGAACTCAGCTCTTGCTTCAAGGTCGGAGCCGAAAAGGGCTAGGTACGTCAGCACAACGGGATCAAGCTAGCCAGAGGCTGACTTACTTGTAGAAGCGTCGATGGTCAGAGCCGGAGAACTGCCATTTGATTGTGACTTCCAAGGCTGATGACCTTTCGCACCAAGCTTGGGGTTGCCACCAAAAAGTCCAAATCCAGGTCGGGGAGGCTCTGCATTACCGTGTCGCATGGCGTTATTGGTGTAGTCAGTGGTGGGAGGAGTTGAATTATACGGGACTGTTTCTGTAAATTGCATCTCGCGACTGTAGCTAGCTTGGGTCGACGAGAAAGCACCCTTCAGGCCTTTGGTGACCCCTTTGGCAACGTTCTGCCCACCCTTCTTCCAGTTGAACTTTTTCGGTTGGCCTTTTCTGATGCTGACGACCTGGGGCCCTTGCAAGACACTGACGGGTTCTGCTTCTTCTTGCTGTAACGTAGTTCCCGAACTGACCATCGACATCTCATTGGTATTAGATCGCCCTTCACGCGAGTCAATGGAGATCTGCGACCGATCTTTGTGGTGCGAATAGATGCCCAGACCGTTCGGAGCTCCGCGAGATTGTTCCGCTTGGGCGCCTGAACTAGCTTTATACAACTCTTGAATCTGGTGTACGAGCTGATTGTTGAGCTCTGCCAGCTGTGCATTCTTCAGTGACAATTGCTCGAATTCTTGAACGCTCTTATCCTTCATCTGCGTAAGATTGGACACTTCGTCCATCAGATCATTACGTTTCTGAATAAAATCCTCAATCTGTGGTGCGAACGAGTCCTTGAGCCGTTGCAATGATTCAGCAAAATCTCTCATAACTGCATGGTTCATCTTGTTGAGATCCAAAGGATCGCCGCTCTTCTTTGCCGCTGCAATATGCTCCGTCAGTATCTCAAGTTCACGCACCACCATTTCTTTCCGGGTGTCAAGGACGACAATAGTAGATCGTTTCTCACGAAGTTCGGAGTTGACCTGCTTGATGTTCGCAGTTGAATGCAGTGCAGTTTCAAGCTCAGCAATCTTCTGGTCTCTTTCCATAGTCTTCTGTCGTTCTCGTCTCAGTTCATTCTTGACCCAAGCAAGCTCATCACGGTGCTCTGATGAAGATGTAGTAGGTCTACTGGTATCCTGACCATTCATAGCATTGTTGGCAATGGGAGACCGAGGCCACTTTTGCTCCTTCGACACGCGTATGCCCTTGTCGCTAAAGCTCCTACCATGGCGAACAGAATTCGAGACTCTTCGCAAAAACGACTCATGTCCCTGAGAGTCCTCCCCACCCAGGATTCGAGCCATATCTTCATCCATTGAAATTGAAAAGTCCCCGCCAGCAGACCATCGCGGCAGTCCGGGCGAAGTCGGTCTCGATCCGTGTTTGAGCGTCTCTGATTGCGATGTGCTGAAAGACTGGTTACGACGCTGAGTGCGTTCAATCGGTGGAGATGGCGGCACTCTCTGCGCGACAAACGAGCCGTTTACTTTCGAAGCGGAAGAATCTCCTTTTCGGGATAGAGACGTGTCAAAAATGCCTCCAAGCCTAGGCTCTTCTATGTTTGCACCGTTCACTTTTTCAGAAGCACTGACATCCCCGGAAGCCATGTTCGTAGTCGCAGAGGTTGAAGACGATCCTTGGTTAGATTCAGGAGATTCTTGCGTCTTAGCAAGTGTGGACGGTACCTCTTTTCTCGGTATTGTCTGGCTCACTGTAGAGCTCTCTAGAGAATCACCCCGCTTTGGGGGGTATTGCAACTGTCCTATCATTGAGGCTTGTGCCAACTTCAGAGAATCTGTCGACCCATCTTCTGTTGGGCGATAGTCTTGCAATTGTTGGGAGGCGCCATTGTTTTGTGTCAAGAATGATTCTGGCTCTTGAACAACCGACACATCTCCTCCACATGTCTCGCTTGTCTTTTCAGGTTCGTGGCTCTGGCCTTGAAATGATGGAACTGCCATAGTGGGTGGTGAAGCCGGTCCGGATTTCGAGCTCCTGGCTGAACCTCCCAATCTCTTAGCCTTGGGTACTTCTTGCAGCTTGAACCTCTCTTCGGAAGCCATATCTCGGTTATTCTGTGGATCTTTAAAGGGTGTGGCATATTGTGGGCGGTTTACGCCTAAGCCCACCAGTGGAGAGGTGGTTGCTGGTCCGTTTGTGCTGAAGCTGCCTTCCCTCCGCTTTTTGATTGAATCAATAACTTCTTCTGACGGCACACGACCCTTCTCTTGATATGCGATATGAGGTGAAGCGAGAGGAGAGGTTGGTGTGCCGCTGGACGAGTTTCGAGCCACGTACTCGGCTGTCTTCGTAGCCGGAAAGTAGTCTCGCTCTGTACGTTGTGTCTGGTTTTGTGCAGGATGAGGTGACAGCTGGGCGGGGACCGTTGGATCAAATGCAACAGGTATAAGAAACTCCTCTCCCCCTAGACCCTCGACCTCGGATCTTTGAGACATGGACGAATGGCGGCTGGTAGGGACGTGGGGAATGTTCAACACATCTGCAATATTGTCAGCTTAGGATCACGAATAACAGTGAACTGCAAAATACCACGAGAATAGCTTCTACTATTGGCTGGCGATACATCCCTCCTTTCGCTTGAGAGACCCGTTGGCACACCCCGCCGCTCACTCCTCGGTTGTAGCCGTGGCGGAACCTCTGTAGGAGTTTCCGAATGCGTCTCTGAAGGGGGCGTCTCGAGTTCAGGCGAGTACGAGCTCTTTGGTGCTGCACTTGGGGGGAGGGACGGAAGAGATTTGTCGAGAAGGGCGTTATTTGCTGCTGCTTTCTGCCGGTGCGCAGCATTACGTGCAGTCCTTTTTCTCCGCCTTGCCATCAAAGCCTCATGACAGTCCATGCAGAATATCCCCTGCGAAGTGCGAGCGTATCGTAAATTTTCGATTTTCTTCTTGCAGTTTCGACATTTGAAGCAAGTGGCACAAAAGGCTTGATCGCCAGTCAAGATCGCAAGGTCTTCAATCTTGTTACTACAGCTACTGCAGCTGTAGGTACAGTTGTTGCAGATAAGGGATCCATCGCCAAGCAGGAGTAGGTTGGCGTCTGAGTCGAGAAGAGTATTACAGGTGTTGCATCGGAAGCAATCGATATGCCATCTATTGCCCGCTTTCCAGCAGTCAGTAGGACAGATGGTTCTAACAGGCCTAGCAAGAACATACCTAATTCGAATGCTTTTCCTTCTTCAAGAACCTGCAGCATGTGTAAGTCATTTTTTGCATTAGGTGGTAGTGTACATGCTTACTTCTCCACACCCTTTGCAGGGATAGGCGGCTTCATCTGGATCCAGCGGTGAGTCTGGATATGCCGTGGGGGAATCCATCATGATATTGCTGCTATCTCCAGGATATTGTCCATTCATTGGAATGTTAGGAGAAGAGTAGATTTGGCATAATAGTGTAGCAAGGTAATCGGATTAGATGTAATCAGAAGGCCTGATAGAAGTGGGAGAACCGCCGTCGAGGCTCGCATAGGCGGACGACAAAGGAATGGACTTGTTAGGTGAATGAGTGTAATCGCTACTGCGGTGCGCAGGTTGAGGAGTCGTTGAGCGGTGGAATTGTGTGCTGGAGTCAGCTAGTTCAGACAAGCTACCTCATCATTGGATCGCGCAATTTTTGGTGTATCCTGGGCAGCAATCAGGAACATACTGCTAGAGTTTCAAGTTTGACTAGCAACAGCTTATCGAACGATTGCGCAGACCAGACAAGGTTGACGGTGCTGCAAGGTCTTTGGTGGTGATGGGCATCAGCACAGTTTGGGAGTCTTTGACGGATCGGAGCACAGCTGCACCACTGGGAGACTTACTATGTAGTACAGTGGTACATCATTTCGGGTCCTAGGCTCGCAGGATTTGGCAGCTGGCCAGGGGGTTATGAGACACTAGCTACCTAAAGAGTGGACCTCCATCACTCGTTTCAGCTCCCCTCACCATCTTGTAACTAGCTAACTTGTTGGGACCTCTATGGACTCCTAAGAGCTTGATTGCCGCGTGAAAGTAGTAGTTTGTTTTAACGCAGCAGATCTCCTTGCCACTTTCTCCTTCAGAGTACATGGGTTGTCTAGCAGCGGGGGACCCTGATCTCCCTAACTACCCAGAACTGGCAATCAAGCTGGTAGGGGTAAATGGTAGTTAGCGTGTAGATTGCTGTGTGCCTGAGTAGTGAGGGTCTCCGGCACCCCCCAATTTGGCGCACCCTCTTATGGTTTCAGACGGACAAGGAGTAGCTAAACTTCGTCGGGTCTCTTAACAGTGGATTCCAATTACTTAAAGGATCTTTTGCCGAGATTATCACTTAATTTTAGTTCATCCTCAAGATCTCTAATTATATGGCTAATTAGTCAGATTGGTCCCTTAACTTAGAGAGGATAAATATAACCAGGTAACGCTCTTCTGAGAATCTCTTGTAAATTTTGGAACCTAACTGTGAGACGAGGTGAATTGAGCAGTAATGACGAAGGTGTTCAATTAGTATTTGGTGGGCTGGTGAGCAAACATTTTAGGCGTGCACGACTGACCTGCGACTCAGTTCGGCTGACTACATGAATATTCGGAGGAGCCAATGCAAATTTATCAATAATGATTGATTTTCTTGCTAATGCAAGCTTCGGTGCAGTTCTGCCTCCAGTAGTATTTACAAGCAATGCTAATGCGCAGTCCTTCCGAGTCTTACCAGAGCATGACAGTCATCGCTTCCCAATGGAGCACTCGAACGAGAAACTCCATTCAAAGTTCACAAGACCTCCGTTCAAGGCCTATCCAAACACCAATCAAGGTGCATCCCACTCCATTCAATCCATCAAGGTCCATCCAAACTTCATCCAAGGTCTATCCAACTCCATTTCAGGTTCCATCCAAACCCCATCTCAAGTCCGTCAAAACTCCACTGCTCAGAACCAAAAAGATACCACTCTTCATATCTCTACACCCCCTGACAGATGATCATCTCCGGCGGTTAGTAGCAATGAAATAAGTCAACAAAGACTTCAATGCCTCGTCGTTCCCCGCCACCATTTGAAAATATTTCTCCTCCGGATTAATCAATCGCCGAAGCTCAACACAGAATGCAACGGTTGCTCGTCGAGTCTCCGAACTCTCGTTGCGAAGGCATTTCAACGCGAAGTGCGTCAGCCGCTCCTCTTGTATTTTGTCCAAAATCTCGGTCCCCTTGATTCGTGCGACAAGACCGCTCAAGATGTGCAAGCCCATGGAAATTGCTCGATAACCAGCATCATCGTGCTCCTGGAGCTCGAGAACGTCGAGCACAGGGTCAATGACTTCAGTTGATGAACACGCATCCACAATGTCCTCTGCTGTTTCCTCTAGGCCACCAACGATGTGACACCTAGATTCGAAATTCCGCCGTGCTGTGAGAAGTGCAGAAAGAGCTCGTGCGTGATAAGGTGCACAGTATTTTGCACTGTGAACCAACATCAGCCGTATGGTAACAAGTATCTGAAACTTGTTGTCATATTGGCGACCCAGAGACTGACGTCGTTCTGTGTTTGGTGTCTCCAGGGTATCGAGAAGAGCAAGCAGCAACTCATCATACTTCTCTTCGTCTTGGAACAGATCGTCATTGGCTTTGATTAGACCTTGAAGCCTGCGATACCCATAATCATCCATTTTCCGGGCACGAATCTTTTCTATGCCATTGCTCAACTGCGTTCGCGCCTTACCTGGGTCTTTGGTATTAGGAGAGATAGAACGGTTCCGCACGGCTATCTCCGTACTTATGTACTTTTGACGCATGTTTTCTTCTTTCTTAATCGGCTCCAGTATCTGATTGAGCTGATCAATCTCACGCAATGCAGTTGGAGGACTTGGCGACCTGATCGATCGTCTCCTGCTAGGGACTTTGACTACTTCTTTCCCAGCTTTCATCCTTTCCTCTGACCTTCTCTTCGTAACCTGAGAAATCTTTCCAGCCCCAGCTTGGCCTGTTGAAGCCTTATCTTCGTGAATCTGAATAGAACCCGTGCTGCGTGTTCTACCATGTTTCGAGGGTGGTGGTCGGTTTCCAGGGAGATCACTATGCTCCACTTCTTTCCTGGCTTTCATCCTTTCCTCCGACCTTTTCTTCGTGACCTGAGAAATCTTCTCAACCCCAGCGTGGTCTGCTGGAGCCTCTTTGACAATTTCTTTGCCAGCTTTCATCCTTTCTTCCGACCTTCTCTTTGTGACCTGAGAAATCTTCCCAGTCCCAACCTGGCCTGCTGAAGCATTGTCTTCATGGATTTGAATAGATCCTCCGCTGTGTGTTCTACCATGTTTCGAGACCGGTGGTCCGCTCTTATGGAGATCACCATGCTTTCTGGCCCGCTTGTCCACCTCAGTATGGACAGGTGGTACATTAGTTGATGTTGATCTGTTTCTCATTCCAGCTCTTACGGAATTCTTGTCCGTGGCTACCAAGGGTGCCGCCTCCTTGACAGGGATCTGCTGCTCATCTTGACCTAGCTCGAATGGAGGTACTTTGGTGGTGCCAGTTTCTGATTGAGAGACCTCACGTCTGGATGAGGACGGTTGAAGGGCTGCATTCTCCAAATCCTGCACCTGTTTGTCCCCTTCCTTTTTCATTGTGATATCATCCGTCTGAAGAATATTCATTGTTTCGGCATCTGCTTTCTGTTGCACAAACGCAGCTTGCTTGGGAGGTATTCGCTTGAGCTCGATGAGCCCACGGTGGGGCCTCATCGGAGCACTGGAGAGTATGTGGAATTTTCTTTCATATGTGCTTGGGTATAATTGACTAGACACTGGTCGAGCGGTATCTTGTGCTTCCACGTCACGCTTTCTGGTTGCATTATTTGACTGTGGGGGTGGAGGACGGATGACGTCTTCTGCATTAGCATCTTGCTTCCTTGTAGTCTTGATATCCCTGGTCGAGGATCGTGCTGACTGGGCTGACGAAGGACGGGCAGTATCTTCTACCACAGCTTCTCGTTTTCTTACGGTCTTTGTGTCTTTAATCAATGGTTGTGATGCTTGTGCTGAAGGGGGACGAGCAGCATCCTCTACCTCCGCCTCTCGTCTCTTTGAACCCCTTGCGTCCCGAACAAATGTCTTGTTCCCTTGAGCAGAAGGGGGGCGTGGAACTTCCTTCGCTTTCATTTCTCTAATCTTTGCGGCCTTTATGTCCTTGATCGAGGGTCTGTTGGAGTGTGCAGACTCGGGCCGAGCGCTTTCCTGTGCGTCCATCTCTTTCTTCTTCGCGGCTTTAATGTCCTTGATGGATGGTTGTTGCTTCAATGATGACTTTGTTGGTTCGACAGTTATATTGCTGTCAAGCATTTTTTGAGTCTTGAAATCAAGACTATCTCTGAGCCTGTCAGCTCGATCAGGCCACATTGTTGCATACGTGGCATAAGTCGTACGCATTGGTGTTCGGACTTGTGGTTTGGGGTCATTGAGGCCGTTCTTAATGCATTTTTCGATGAGATCAAGAACACTAGCGTGGTCACAGTGACGGCCATTCTTCGCGAAAATTGCGATCAGCCAACCGGCGACGGCTGTTCTGGCGTTAGGATCTTTGTGCTCGGATGCTGACACGATGTAATGGAGAATATTTTTATTACACGTGGCATTGCTGATGATGGTCTCAAAGGTGGCGATGGCAGGATCTCGTTTGACCTTTGAGGTATTGCAGCATCGTGTGATCAATGTCTCTGCGACAAAATCAACCATGAAATCAACGCCATGCCCGAGTGCATCGGCAATATGCTGGAGTGTATGTAAACCAGCGGTAGAAACGTTGGTTCGTAGAGAATCTACGACCTTTAGGATGTTGTCCAACTGTGATTTGATGAAGGTGATGTACTGTGGGCGATAGTCGTGTATACCATTGCCATGCGTGATTCGAGAAATCTTTATAATGGCCTTTCGACGCTTGTCCCAGTTTTGCTCCGTCTCCTTGCCTTCAAATAAACGGTGCATGTCTTGAGACATATCTTCAAAGTCTCTCGCAGAGGTGATCGACAAGGGCTTAGTAGCATTCTCGTCATCTTTCAATTTGGTGTCAATATGGGTGGGGTGTTCGACGAATGCATCACCTGCATCTTTCAGCATGGCAAAGGGGGGCGGCTCAGTGTGTGGTTTTGGCATGCTCTTCACAACAGGATTCTGAACTGATCGCTTCATGGTCATCATTGTTGTATTCTGTGCGTAAGTCATTGCCCAGTTGAATATGCCAGCTAGTAGAGAAAAGGCGTAGAAGGGGCCCAAGATCATGGGCATGCCCGATGAAGAACCGCAGGCATTTGCGAAGTAAGCAATGCAAAGTTTCGGTTTTCAGAATCAGACAGCAGCTACAGCATGAGTGATCAAGATTTGCTTGCTGAATTATGATACCGCAGAAAGTTGGTAGTATGTATGTAGCACGCGATGTAAGCAAACAACTTGAACTTTTCTTAGGGTCTGGCCTTACCAAAGTCAGCTAGGGTGTCTTGTTCTTGGCGCGACATCAACTTACTAACCAATTGTGGAAGCCTTTTGCAGCTAGCACTAAATACTATGTAGTAAGCGTTGAGAACCAGCACAATTAATGCAGTGATTCTCATAAACTCAAGGCTCACAATGATAGAGTATGTTACAGGTACAGATATCCGTGAAGGGTTATTCTATGGGATATACGAGGCTTGAGGTGGGCTGGATAGTTGAGCTTCATTGGAGATGTGGTTGTGGTAATTCACCTCAATCAAGCTCTTGTATGAGGGATGCTTCTGTACATATCCTGGCATCGGATACTGGGGCAAGTGCGCGCTCAATATACATACAAGACCGCGACAAGTAGTAGAATACATCTGAGGGAAGCGAGATCCCAAAATGGCTACAGAACGTTTGATTCAGACGACAATGTCACCAGGGTCGACAAGCATTCGGTCCCACTTCCGTGCGCCGGGTTCTTCCATCTCACTTGGAACGCGTAGTTCTGTCGGACTGTAAAGATACCAACCCTTCAATGCAGCAACGGCAGCACAAATCCGAGCCTCATCAAGGCTTGAGCCAGCTCCTTCGCCTAACTTTTCGTGCCCGGAGAAGACTCCTATCACAAATACGGGATGTCTGCTCTTTCTCCCTGTCTCGCTTACTATTCTCGCAACCGGTGACTGAAAGCCTTCTCGAGCACATAAGCGACTAAGATCTCTCTGAGGATGGCGAAAGTTGAAAAGGCTAGCAATGTTTAATTGCCTGGACATGAAATGCTCCCTGAAGAATGACTTCACAGCCGCGCGGCCGCTGTGGAGATATAATGCTCCTGTCAACGCCCGTACGAAGTTCGTACTGGCTTTCTCTTCTGTGACACCCTCAATCGCAGTGCTTGAGGCTTTTTTATCTTTGGCGGGTTGCTGAACGTCTCCAAATTCATCGTCATAAACGGTCCTGGAGCTGATCCCTCTCCGCTTCCATCCTGAGCTTGCATCCGGCGTCGTACTTATCAATGCTGACGGCTTGGGACCCATATCTGACTCCGGCGCGACCCTCCGAAACTGTAAGTAGCCGGGGTCTACTTCTCCACCCGGGTGCGCCGCAGCCTCGACGCCCCATTCTCTCGTTATAGCAGCAAGAGCCTTGGGTCCAACATAAGCATACATTGCCGCAAAGACGACAGCTAACGGTAATCTTGGATATCGACATATTATGTATTCGGAGGTATAGTAACCAAGGAGATCGTTTCCGAGTATTGAAAAAGGATTATTGTTGAACTGAGGTGAAGGATCAGCAGAAGGATCAACCAGAGTCCGAGCGAGAACTTGGAGAGGCAGGCGAGATGGTAATTGGAGCCGAGCATGAAGGGCAGCCAGCTTGGCCGAAGATGATGCAGCTTGGATAGGAGGTGATGGTAGCCGTAGAAGGTGTTCCTCTGACAACGTGTCCGGGAGTTGTCCTTGGACATCCTTCGGTGAGTGAGCTTCGCGTAGAGATGGCTGGTGCGTTGCAGATTCCCATCGTCTGCATTGACATTGTGGTGGTATGATAGTTCGAGGTCTTGTTCGAGGCGAAAGGACGGTATCACTCCATCTAAGGAGCCTCAATCTTTTCATGTGGGTCACTGGACTTTCTCGCGCTCAATCATCAACAGTCTCATTCGAAAGCGTGTTAGCTCAAGAAATGAAGCGCTCAACGTCCGCTATGCTACGAACCTCAATTCGTGTTGTACGATTCTGTACGGAGTACCATAAAAAGCTGTAGGAAAGTAGCGGCTGCCGCTAACTAAGCTCGATTAGTCTACATGCTCAACTCGCGATCCAAGCTTCGATCAACTCCGCAACGACACCTTGTGTGAAGCATACTTCTCTGCCCAAAACGCTGTTTCAGCGCCTTTCAGTCTCAAAGCTACCTGACCTGTAGGCATTAGACTATACGATGGGTGGGGGCGGCAAGATACCGTATGTGCACGCTTCGGACGCATTGTCGCTCTCCAACCCCTACTAATCAATATACTCAGCTACCCAAAGCACGTCTGGTCTCCATCTGGTGGTTGGTATGCGCAGCCTCACAACTGGAAAGCGAATACTGCTGTGATGGGTTTCGTGATATTTGGGATCACAGCTCTTGCATGGAAAGTCGGCGCGGAAAGGGAACACAGATTTAAAATGCCGGAGCCGCACAGGTTCTTCCCAAGTCGCAAGTATGACTCGTTAGCCTTCCCTTGCCTCTTAGCATACTCTGACATCTTCTACAGCTGGAGCAGGCAAATTATCGAACATGAAAAGGCTACAAAATCATCTTCAGAATGACCGGTTTGGTTTCGGCATTATAGCATTCAGGTCGATGGCGTCTCCGCAGGAGTGTATGAGATACCTGCTCCAGAGAAACATATTTTGTATCTGACACGAAATTCAATTGTTCTTCTGGGCTTGCCATTTCATTTGCCTGCTGAGATCGTCCTTCTCCCTTCTGGTATATGCCATTAGCCTGTCTCCAAAACACTCTCCGTTCCAGGTTTCATTCAGACTACTTTGGAGTTGATGGTTCGGCATGCCCGGCTGCTCGATGACGAAGCTTGCAGCAACGATAGCATATATTAGTGAGATTACCAGATCGGAACATTGGTTAGGCATCAAATCCTTGTCCAGTCCCAGAACTCGACCGACCTCGACCTTTGATGGGCAGCAGACATCATCACCTATCGCCATTGCCAGTGCTCCTAGAAACGCATTTCCGCCGCCGGTCGGATCCACCACCTTTGACTGTGATTCTTCGAGTTGGGCATGATACGCGTTGAGATGAATGCGATGTCCCCTTATAAATGCGGAGCAACCATGTTTTCCTTCGCGAACCACCAGTGAACCTCCGCTGTCTTGGCCAATCCCCCATTCAAGCACTTTGGCTGCCATGTCATCTCGTGAACTGTACTCTCCATCGAAGAAGCCGGCGAGCTCCTCCCCATTCGGGCTTACAATATCGACTTGCCGTATTGCTTGTCTGAAGCTGTCAATGTGATCCGGGGTACAGAGGTCTGGAACTGGTTCCCAGATGAAGAGAGGCCTGGGCCACTTGCTCTTCTTGTCGTTCTCCTCTGCCACTCGTCTGGCTAGTAAGTTGTCAACGAGATCCATGCACCGCTCCGCCGAGCACACCAAGTGGAATGCCTGTGAACGAAGAAGTTGAACCGAGAGCGAGTGGTGATCAAGTCGGATTTTTGGCGTCAAGTACTTGAAGTCTAGTCGAGTTCAGCAAATCAGTATCGTTATGCCTATTTCGGGAGGACACCGACCACGGTGATCTTCTGGGCCATACCTATTCCAGGCCCTTGTCGTCAGTCGGTTTCTGTCTTCTCGGAAGAGACAGCTGGTTTGCCACGAATCTATCGTGCGACGGAAGTCAGTTGGGAAGTCAGAGCCTGTGTCGACAATCCAGCCAACAGATTCTGAATGCTCTGCACCAGCGACTAGACGTGCGCCGATGGCGGCATAGGTGCCGGCGCCTCCAATGACAGATTCTTGATAACCTTTGCCTTCTGTGTACTCGATCTCGTCTGGTAGAGGTTAGCAACCCCATGAGATATTACGAAATATACTGGTTCATTAGTACCAATAATGAACATTCCCAAGGTACACGTTTTAATGCCAGGGTTCCCCATAATGTTTTGCTACCTCCCAATTACCGTGCCACAATATAGTGTGAGCGTTGCGTCTGTCTGTGTATACTTTTCACTTTGGTGTACCTGGGGCGATCTTTCTCCACGGACTTCCACATTTGACCGTATCAACCTCCAGGGTTGGGTAGATAAATATGCAGCTTGGTCTGCCGGGCAGTGCCAAGGACATTATTTCCTTAGATTCAATGAATACTACGGAGTCGTGCTTCAAAAGTAGCTGTCCCCCCCCGGCTAGTGTGGCTGAAAGACTAGCCATCTTGGACTTAGCTGCTGACAATTAGTCTTTTGAATGACTTAAATCTTAGAGGCTTAGGATAAGCGGTTATAGGGCTTAGAACCTAAGTCAAGCCTTATAAGCAGCGCCTCAAGAGCTACAAAGATAAGCACCCACTCCTTGTACTATTAGTTGATTGGCCAGCCAATGTTGAAGCTAAGAGAGGCTAGCAATACCACATTAGCTGGGGGGGGACAGCTACTTTTGAAGCACGACTGGCCGTAGAGTCTCTCGTTTGGAGCTGAATTTGCTCTCTCTCGTTGCTATAGCTATCTCTGTACATATTTATAGATCGTTTGGAGCTCTGTGTGCAGCGTGAGGGTAATAACAACTTTCGTGGATGAGAAATATACAATTTGAGTGGTGTATAAAAGACGTAATTAATACCAAAGCACTAAGGATTCTGGTGTACTAATACATGAGATAGCGTAATATGTAGTACGAGAAGCTTGTATCAAACTAATCCCAATGCAGTATCTCATTACTTCTGGGCGGCACCTCGTAGTATTGAAGTTAGAACTTGAGAAAAGTGCACCCAAATTGTTCTCGGCGGAAAGAGTTTGATTCGGATTGCGCTGCAGTGGCTACAGCAATCATGTAACACACCTCGTTCGCTCTTGAAGCGACCACCAGATTAAGTAATGTCAGGACACTATGTTCTGCATCCCAACCAAGGGTGATATCGAATTTGCCAAGTATGAAAGCTGAGTTGGAACAGCTCTAGATGAAAATAATAGTCGGTTATCAAAGGGATGCTAGAATAAATCATCCGCCTCTATGACCGGATCAAAAGTACCTGATACTGACTATGTTGGATATCAAGTCGCGAATAATACGAAATTCAGTTGGAGCAAAAACCCTTGGTATCTCGATCGGGCCAGAATATCAAGATGTTGTGATGCTGTTACCAGGAACTGACCCATTATACGTCTATTGGTCAGAGTGAGTAAAGGAATAAACAGGACGGAGGGATATGAAAGCTGCCCTGCAAATGACCTCCCGGAAAGGAAATGAAGCATCCCAGAAGGGTAACGCATGTGGGCTGCACAGATTCCAGAATGCTAATATCTCGTGCTGACTACCATTTCAATAGCGACGCAATTCTCGGTTTCCAGACGCAGCATCTCGAACATCCCTTGCTCAGCGTACCTGAAGGTAATACAATTATTGGCCTTAGCAGCGCCATCGCCACCGTCATCATCATTAACGTTAGTATTGCACGTTCCTGCGCGGCCTGGCACTGAATCCTGGCGGGATGGTCTCTCAAGTTATATTGGGGACCCGACTTCCAAGTCCTACGCTTCAATACCAATTCTGTCACTATAAGAGACATCTGGCCAAAAGCCACTGTCCATCTCCTCGTTCTCCCCCGCTCCCAAGCGAAAACCCGCTTGTATCCTTTCACCGCCCTTGACGACCCTGCCTTTCTAAGCCTTATCAGTACGGAATGCATTCAGGCAAAGAAGCTTGCAGTGGACGAACTCCGAGGCAAATTTGGTGAATACTCTGCCATGGACAAAAGGCCCGGAGGTCACGACTGGGCGGCCAGAATCAATGTAGGGGTTCATGCTGTGCCAATCATGTGGAATGTTCATATTCACGATATAACAAGGAGCTCTGTGGTGGGAAGGAGCCCAGACTCACCATTCTTTGTGTCACTAGAAGCCTTTCCACTTGCTGCACATGATCCAAGGAGGTGGCCGGAGGTGCAAGAGTATGCTAGGCAGGAGTTAAAGTGCTAGAAATACAAAAGAAGGTTTGGAAATGACTTTAAAAAGTTTAAAAAGCACTTGGATGTGGAGCTTGAGAAGTTTAAGAGGGAGTGAATGGATTCGCTCAACGATAAAATTAGACTGAGTAGTCTATGTATATATACCCGCTGTTGTTGGATTGCTGGCGTGGAGACCTGCCCTTGGAATTTGGTTGCCATGCAGCCATGGCATTATCGTTTGATATAGACATATGACACAAAGTAGATTCCCTACAGTTGTCATATCGATCGCGCAAGGGGAGACGGCCAGAGTGGCTACCATTGTTTGCCGCCACTGTGGACTGCTTGCCACACTGTTACTTAATAAATCTTAGAGTCCTAGACCAACCACTTAGTAGTGAGGCATGATAACTGGCTTGTCTATAAGGGCGATTGGCTTAACCACGTTAACCCAATCTTTCCTGACAGAGCTGCAAGCTATTATATTGTGGCTATCAACACCCCAGGCGCAGAATATAAGGCACAACGGCAAGTACTGAACAAGAACGAAGGCGAACGAGGGTAGGGAATTATAGCAAGGCAAACAGGGAGCAGGGTGACCAGTCAGAGCGGCTAAGCAGCGGAACAGACCATCAATGAATCCAGAGCCCAGCAAAGAAATCGCGGCGCAGAGGAGAAGCATCGAAGATAGGGGAGGTTGGTAACATGAGGAAAGCTGGGTATGGGAAGCATGTATTGACATCACATCAGTTGTATGTTCAGACATCATACCTCAACGCTCTCTTATCTTCATCTTCTGCACCAGTAAGCCAACTGCAGTCTGTTGTCAGATTCGAGGCGAACCTGTATTTCTTGATGACTTCGCTCTTCGAGAATTAACTAATGTCGAACCAGGTTTCAAACCTTATGAGCGCCTATTGGCCAGTTTTGCTGCGTTTGCTTCTGCGTTCTGCCTGCGTTTGATTAGTTACTTTCAACTGCATTTTCGCAACTAATTTCGCTGTTCGTACAGTCATTCTATACGTATATCTACGTGCACAGCTCCTTGGTAGATAATACAACTTCTTTTCTACACGCTCCAGGAAGCGTTTCATCACCGGATCTATGTAAGAGCGGCTGACAGCCGAGGATGAAAATGTATCTTAGACTGCGCATCCACCGATTGTTGTTGTAGAAAGCTGCTCAATTCTCTATTCTGCAGCTATCAAGTACGAAAACGAATATGATAAGGACAGTGAGCCCCTTTACGCGCACAGGCCATAGCAGTCTCGTTCCACCCCCGTCTGACACGATACTAATGAGCATCTCATAGCCTGCTGATGAGATAATGTTCTGCTATAACGCATTTTCGATGGGGGCAGCTGCTGAGTTCTAGGACTCTCCTCACGACCCTTCTTTGATTGAAGATTCCTTTCCATTTCTTCCCATTCGCCCACGGACGACGGCAGAAAGGGAGGGGGGCAGGCTTGACACGCATAGGCTTGCTGCACCTGCATTCTAGACTTGAGCGTCCTACTGTTTGAGATTGTCTGTACTTCCATCACGCCCACCGGCTCCGTTCACATATTAAAATGTGTGCCGACTGCCAACAAATCTTCATCCCCTCGACTTGTCTTTACGTGTTGTGAATTGTCGTGGACTCTGCTGTCGCTGGGGAGGGATCCCATTTTTCGCTCCAGTGTCGAGTCTGACGGAAGACTACCCAGTTCGACCCAGAGTGATGACTCTGTTACGTACATCAGCTCTGTCAACTCAGAAAGATGAGCACGACCAGAGCAAGACAAAATGAACGGCAGTACCTTCGAAGTTATCATCAATATTGTCAGGATAGAGTTCTGCGGCGGATACTATTGCTGGTGGTCGCCGCTGCTGTTGGTGAGGGCAATTCGCGTGGGGAGTTGAGTTCGGGAGACACGAGGAGCACGACAAGATTTTGGAAAGAGGAACCACTGGGCCACCCGTTGTCGCTGCATATATGGTAGCACTGATGGGGTGAGGCATCATAAACAATCTGAGTAGGGTCTGATGTGCACCAGTCACCTGGTAGGCGTGGCAAAGATGTGGAAAATAAGAAAGGAAGGGAGGAAGAAGACCAGTCCAGCACAGCTCGTTTTATAGCAAAAGGCAAGTGGAAAAACGAGCATCGCGCTGTTCACTATTGCTCTCCGCATCGCTTCGTTGTTTCTTCGAGGAGCTTGCTGGTTACTGAAGGAGCCTATAGAAGGTGGCCGCCAATGACGCGTTGCGCTTTGCTCGTGGCGTCTCTTCGACCCGTAGCAATGATGTTTTGGCACGCAAGCTATTGTTGATAGACGAATCGTCTGTGCCGGGCAGTGTTGAGGCAACGCTTCTGTCCGCTCGAAGCGCAATAAGCGAGGGAGGGACCCAATTACGCCTCGCCAAATCACGTCAACCTTCCAAGCGGAGCGAAGCGGTCAAAAATGATTGACTATGGGGCAATCCAATACGCTCCTGCTTTAATACTCACAGGCCATTCCCAGCCTCAGTAGGCTGACTTTCAATGATGCTTTACAAAGATGAGATCTTGCAAGTTCGCTAACCTTTTAGGCCAATTGCACCAATTGCAAAAAACTAGACGTAAGTTTTGAGTCTAGTCCTAGAGGAAGGAAAGAAGCATGTCGAATGCGACATATAGGAACTTGAAATGTTTGACTCATCATTCCTATGGAAGACCTCGACCAAGAGCAAATTTAAACAGCAAGGCAGCGTGTCCAGGAAAGCAGCACCAATTATCGAGAGCCAATAAGAAATGATTCGACTTTATTCGATTCGCAATACGCTCACAATGGTCATATGCAATACCGTAAATGAGAATAGAACCTGAAGTCCCGAAATGGCGAGTTATAGAGTCAGGATGGATTTAAAAGCGTGCGTCAATCGTGGCACCATGAGGTACTGTATATACATCAAAGCATCATACATGTATTTCAAGCAATCTCTGTTTTCATACCGACTTGATCGATTAAAGACCACTCGTCATCATCTAGATCGGAACCGAGCTGGCATTTCTGTTCACGCCACTCAGGTACCTCAGAAAATGGTGTTCCTGATCCGTAGGTGGACGTTGCACAACTCAACGGCCTAATGTTGTGTTGTAGCGTAAGATTTTTGAATTGCTGAAGCTCGTTATCAAGGAATTGACCGCTACCCACCTTCTCTAGATATTCAATATCTGCTAAGGAGGTCATCCGCGGCTTTGCGCCTCGCTCGATGAGGAAGTTGACAATCGAATCATGTCTCTCCTCGATTGCAATTTCCAAAGCTGTTTCCGATGCGGCAGTTTCAGCTTCTAGATCAGCACCAGATTCAATCAGGTGCCGAAAAGTATTGTAGTCTCCATGCTCCGCCGCAAAATGCAAGGGTGTCTCCTTACACCTTGTGGTCGCATTGAGGTTTGAACCTGCTTCAAGAAGAATTTTGACGACGGCAGCATGTCCATGACCTGCAGCCAGATGTAACGCGGTTGTCCCGGTCAGATGTGTATAAGAGTGGTCACAGGGAGGGGAGGCGGGCTGGACGTCGACGTTGGCTCCGCGATCCAAGAGAAGAGAGACTACATCAGAGAAACCAGATATCGAGGAGTAGTGCAAGGCAGTCATTCCGTTTTGATCCAAAGAGTCTATATCTGCGCCTGCTGTCAAAAGCAACTTTAGCATATTGGCGCTAGAGTTTGTGGCCGCGCCATGTAAAGACGTGCCACCCACCGTGTGCTTGTAATCTACATCTGCGCCCATTTCCAGGAGTGTTCTACCAAGGATGCTTAGATCATATTGGGCACAGATCCATAGGCCGATGTTAATCCTGTGGTCCGAGATCGTTTCTCCAGGACCCAGCTCCAATCTATCCTCTAATAGAGCCGATTGAAGTATGCGATATAGAATCGCGGGAAGCTCCTGGCTGCTACCTTCGGCAATCCGGAAGTGTTCATACCAGAAGGATGTCGAGTAATTCCAAAATTGACAGCGCTTGACCTGCGCATGTAGCCAGTCACCAGTAAGTAACCACGGCCTGAAGATACTTTGTTGGTGTAGACATTGAACATGACGCAGACAAACCGTAGCGATCATCTCGTGAACTTGGGTATGCTGGCAAGGATCGACTGTTGATATCTCCGGGCAAAGAATCAGATTCCTCAAGTCACGATCGCAGAATTGAACGTGTCTATCGTCGTCCATAACGAGAAGGTGCGCACAAAGTTCAACGAGCTCGCTGGAGTCTCTGAGACCGAATGTATAGCATTCTGATTCGGCCGTCATTGTAAGGACTGCTGAGAATAGCTCATCAATATCCAGAAGCCGCAGAGTGAAGGCAACCCAGCGAAGCGCTCTCAGAATGATCCTGGCCTTCCCTAAACCGTTGGCTTGCAGAGCACGCTCGAGCGAATATGCTGACCGCGATGTTGGATGGTCTAGTAACGCTTGCGAGTTCAAGCTCAGAGATAATGGATTGTGGCCAAGCTGGTTGCCTTGCTCAACTGAGATAATAAGTAACTGATAGAAGAACAGCTCATGGGACCTACCCGCAAGGAGTCGGAGCATCGACCAGGATGTGCAATCCACCACGTCTTCGACATCACACCAGATCTCGGTGTTTCGTGCCCCAGAAATCATGCGGACGTTCAGTCCGGAGAATTGAGAGCGACGCGGAAATTCTTCATAGATTTGCTGGCATGTTTCAGCTTAAATCCGCAGCAGCTAGAATGTTGTCTTGGTATACCTCGGAAAGATAAAAGTCAGATTTGCAGTGTATTCTTATCGTTGCACATTGCATGCGAACACGGCGTGAGGCCCTACAGTGACGTACTGCATGCTCAGGCACGATCGCGGCTGTATGCTTGATCTTACGAACGGGGATGTTCCAGCCTGAGCTTCCGGGGCAATCAAGGTTCATAGGCCAATCGACAGGACTGAGCAGTCCACTCCAATCCAAAGATATCTATTGAGCAAGGTTAATCCAGTCCCCAAAATCGGTGGATCGCTCACCATCCCTGCTATACGGCTTCGGAGCCACTCTCTATTTCTGCTCGAGCCGAGTCCAGATAAGGCCTGTAGTCTGTGAGGTCCTGACCATAACTCTAACTGACGAGCGCACCTCTTCCATAATCATGCCTCCGAACGAATGCGAGACTAGTATCAGTCGCTTTTGCTTGGCCTTGCTGATATAAGTCTTCGTCAATTCAATTTGGCTGATGTCATACCCTTTCCACAATATCTTGTCCGAGCTTGCGTGCATCATGTTCTAGTATAGAAGCTGGAGGCATGAGAGTTCCGTAGATCTTCGAGCTGTGCAAACTTCTCCAACCACGGTTCATCCCAATACAATTAAGCAATCGTAGAACGCTGGCAGCAGAGGGTGCTGCCGATTTCGCGATGCAATCGATCTCGGTGACAAAATCGACTCTAAATTATTTCAGCCAGTGTACACATACCACTTCGCCATGCACTGACTCAACCGTGGCTATCCGTCTGCGAGTGCTGTTTATGTTCTCCAGTACCACCTGTACACGAGCGCACTCAGCGACCAATTCTCTCCACTCTTCGTCTTGCTCTCCATGGACTCCATGAGAGAGTTGAATTATTTCTTGTAATTGGTTGATAATATCCGGCATGGATGTCAGGACTACCCTCAAGGGGAACTCCTCGAGAGCTCGGAGAGTGTCACGCTCTCGGCTGCTCTTACGCTCGACTGGTCCGTCCATACCTTGCGAAAGATCGCAATCGGTGTGCAGGCTTGGGCTCTGTACATATGCTGGGCCTAAATCTAATGAAGTCTTCCCAGAGCGTGGATCGGTTGAGAGCTGAGATGAGTCTAGAATCTCCCCATGGTACCATGAATAGTCATGAGCCGGAGGGACATCATCCTGCTGGTGTGGCGGGTTGAGAACGAATTCCGAGGGGCGAAGTACGTTATGAGCATTTATACCAAGCATATCTATCAACAGCGTACCTGGTGCCCGTTCGTCTTCGCCGATGCTCACTTTCGTTGCATAAAGTCTTTTCGCGATATAGCATGAATCGATCATTGGGGATATATATATAGGGGTCCATTTCGTGGGCGATATCGGTTTCGTCCGCCTTATCTATGATGCGGCGCAGAGCACCAACAACCATACAACCACAACGAAAGTACAACCATGCCGAAAGGGAAGAAATTTTGGAGGGGCAACCAATAGGAAGCAAGGAAGTTAATTGGCCAATTCAGTCGTAGTACCTGTAAAGTGGGCTGTGAGAGAGCGGCATTGGAGAGTTGTGTGCGCGGATGCGAAGCGGGTTGCGAAGCGAGCAGGCGGCGGTTCACTATTCGCTCGGATTGTGAGAGGTCAAGGGCAACCACCGCTCAGAGAAGTGTGATTGCATAACAAAGATAGTGAAATGAGGCTTGGAATTTGCAGCTTAGCCAGTACCCTGATAGTATTTACATAGGCAGAAGAGGGTAGGCAAGGCTCGCTTCAGTCTCGCGAAGCACGAGGCAAAAGAAGGCAATTGCCATAGGTTGAGATGCCAACAACACGAAGACAACCACCCCCCTCCCCCCCCGGGCGTAACATGTAAACCAGTGGTCGATGGTCTTTTCATTTTGAGAAACTTCGAAGCCAAGTTTCAAGCACCTCATTCTTGAAGCAAATTATATTAACGGTATCCATATATCGCGACATTAGTGAAGATGGAGACAGTTGGCGGGACCAAGCGTCCAATCGTACGGAACTATGACAAGTGTGACGGGTGTCGGCAGAAGAGAATCAAGGTTGGTGCTCATCAGGCAACCCATAGACAGTTGGTACGGAGATTTGACGATAATCGCAGTGCCTGCCCGAGGACCGCGATTTTTCCAAAGGGGAGCGATGCCTTGCCTGCGAGAAAAGAAATGAGTCGTGCGGACCCAATAAGCGTGCAACTAGGCCGTCACTCTCCCGCAGCCCTCAGCTCGATGGCAGCTTCAAACCAGCATATCGCACACTTGTCCCTTCAATCTCGCCAAACGTGTCTCCTCTCGAGAGATATTCAGATCAGACAGACTCGCCGAATCAACATGACATCTCTTCTCCTACAAGCAGGGCAAGGTCGAGTGTCTTCGGATCCCTTCCGAGTGCGAACAGCTTCTCGAGTCCGCCAACGACATCAACTCCCTCGACTCGTCCCTTCCCTTCCCCGACACTCAATGAGAGCATTAGATCAAGGTGAGCTCTTGACTCTAAGTTGGCATCATACGGTTCTGCACCGCCGCTGATTCGTCCTGTGACACAGCTTTGTCCAGCTCGGAGAGCTTCGCATCCTTTTTAAATGTTTCCAAGATAGACGACAAGCTGTTATTGATCTCGTCTTGAGGAACGCCAATACCGATTCCAGTCGAAAGGTCAAGACCGCTTTGGACTTCATCGCACACTGCATAAAGCGAGAGTATGGTGGTGTGCTAGGGCGTGTGCTTGGAGACCTCGAAGACTTGGAACCATGCCAGACCGAGCTCTGGCTCGTTCGAGCTCTACAAGCCATCGAAAACCTGACGGATATCACCAGAAGGCCAAGTTTTTTGGGGGACCCAGGTGATGATCCAATACTCAAGATGCACTCCGAGATTTTGAACAAATTGATATCCATTCATAAAGCTCATGGGGATCTGCCAGAAGCCGAGCGTCTCTTGGGTCAATTGGCTGCTCTGCCAGGTGGAACAACAGTGCGTGCCGACCCTAAAATATCCGAACGTCTGGCCGAGTCACTCTTAATGACCTCGGATCGAAGCCGAGAGGTGTTTGGGAACCTAAAAATACCCAAGGAATATACAGGTTCATTACACTTCAATGAAACGGGCCCATTTCCACCTACTCACAGGGCTGTGCTCGATCATATGCCTGATGTCATTCGTCACCTTTGCAAAACTCCACAACGCGTTCTAAATGAGACCGATATTCTAAGGCGCAATATTGTCCACATCGCCGCTGAGACGGCGAATCTAGGCCTTTTAGACCTGATCACTCATCAAAGGCAACCACTCCTGAAAAGTCGCGATCTCTATCAGAAGACGCCGCTGTCCGTTGCAGCTTACTGCGGTCACCTTGGTTTCTTCGAACGCTTAGTGAACGACGGGGCAAACTTAGAAACAAGAAACGAGGACGGACGAACTCCACTTTGCATTGCTAGTGGGGCAGGTCACCTCTCCATTGTTGAATTCCTTTTGGCGCGAGGCATATCACCTAACGACGACACACTACAATGCTGGTCGCCGCTTCACGCTGCTGCTCAGGGAGGCCATTACGATATTTGCAAGGCTCTTCTTGAACATGGTGCTTGGGCCGATTGGCTATCGGATTTCAGGACTGCTGCTCAAGTGTCGACCAAGAGCTGCGACCTCCGAATAACCACGATGCTCAAGGAGGCCGAGCAACACCCTAGAAACCAATTTCCTCGACGCGGTATGCGGTCTCGTTTAGAACAGCCGCAATCTCCTACGACCCAGTGCACATCTCTACCAGAATCGACCGAAACCCCTCTCCTCCCTTCAATACCGTGTACTCCTAGTTTGCTACATCAACCTCTGATAGAAGATGGCTATCTTTGCGTCGGAGTCACTTCTTCTACTGGAAGAGTCTTTGACTTTTAACGACGTACCTGGTTCGGACTCAAGAAGTTTTTGATAAGAAATATAAGGAGATTTTCTGTTAATAAACTTATAATAGATATCCGAGACAGTCTATGCTGACCTCATCGAGTGTTTTCCATGCTAAGCAAACGTCTTGTGTATGTGGTTTAGACTTGACCATCGTCGCTTGTTTTCCTTGTCACATGGAAAGAAATTCCTGGCGTTTGGATTCCAAGCTTTAACGGATTTGATCACTGAAAATACAGGAACGGACATGGCCGGTAGTGTGATGATGCATGAAGCTTACGATGCAACGGGTGGCCAATACACATCTATAAGAAACGTAGAAGATGGTGTGATGTTTTTTGATGGTCTCTTTCTTAGCCTGCCGTTGCTAGTGCTGCGATAGTAGTCAGCTGTTGACGTATAAGACTCTTGATCTTTCTACAAGTCCATCCTGCAGTCTTCTTGCTACAAGTGGTGGTCGGCGATGGAATTTGTTGCGGAGGGTGAATGTAAAGGGCAGAGGCCATCTCGTCTTTATAGTTGAGAGGAGCTCTATGACTACTGGCCAAACCGCTGACTGACTGCAAACATAGGGTACGGAAGGGAGTGGTTGCCGACGATCTGGGAAAACAGGAAGGGTAAAAAGGGGGGACGCTTGATAAATTAGACTGGGAAATAAAAGGTGGGTAGCACGTCACATGACCCTGCTGTGCAACAGGCGTCAAAGACGGCCAGAAACGGCATCAGATGTCCCGGAAACTAGAGTTGTGCTGTAGAGACGTGTCCAACATCTGATCACCATTACCCCCTAAGTGTCTGCGCTTTTCCGAGACACTGTACGTTCCCTCCTCCCTACAGGGGAATCGCAACCATGACAACAAATACAAACATGCATAACTTAACTACCCTGATCAAGAGGTAAGTCTAAATCCGTACTCACAAACATTAGCAACCCCAGCGAACCATGTTATGGCAATGGAGAGAATGTTTGCAGCACCTAGATCGAAGCTGACTGGGATATTTCGCAGGCTTGAAGCCGCAACGTCGAGACTTGAAGATATGGCAACGTCTGTAGACTCGTCACATCCGTCGACTGTGGCAGCCATCTCAAGTTCTGCTGCTGCGCCCTCAGATTCGTCCACGGCAGCCGGCCCTGCTCCCACACCCACGGCAGAGCCTCTCCCTCCCTCCATCGAGGACTTTGACATTTTAATGGACCAGGAGGTGAAAGCCTTCGTGAGTGCAAGTGAGAAAATTGGCGGACTTGTTCAGCAGCAGGCATGGTTCTAAACACTTCCGTTCACGGAGACGATCTAACATGAAGCATCAGGCTAAAGCGGTGGCTCAAGCTTTTGCTGCTGAACGGACCTACCTGTATGTGACAACGAAGGCAAAAAAGCCGAGCCCACAGCCACCCGAACTCCTGACTGAGCTCCACACCTGTACGGGCACTGTGGATGAGCTCCGAGAAACGAACAGGATGTCACCTCTTTTTACGCATCTCAGCGCAATCTCGGAAGGTATCGTAGCGCTGGGCTGGATAGTAGAGACCAGGCCTGCGGAGTTTGTCAAGGACATATTGGGAGGTGCGCAATATTACGGAAACACTATCCTGAAAAACTATCGAGACAAGTGAGCTATCCAGAAAGTTTTTGAACGAAGCCCAAACTAAGCCGTCCAGGGACAAGTCGCATGTTGAATACATCCAAGCATACTATCGTGTCTTCAACGCGCTTATAGCTTATATCAAGAAGCATTTTCCCGGTGGCCTGACGTGGAACAATAAAGATGGCATAGATGCTATGGACGCCCTCAAGCAGATACAGTCTGGTGTGGTAACACCACCTGGGAATAGTGCCTCTGCGCATCCTCCTCCTCCTCCCCCGCCTCCTCCGCTCCCCTCTTTCGACAATGAGGGCGGTCCATCAGCCCCACCTCCGCCGCCATCGTCGAACGGCACTTCCAGAGGAGGCGACATGACTGCTGTATTTGATCAGCTCAACCAGGGCTCCTCGGTGACAGCAGGGCTCCGCAAGGTTGATAAATCCGAAATGACACATAAGAACCCTGCCCTTCGCGCCGGCTCTGGGGTTCCAGAACGAAGCAATTCCCAGACCTCGATAAGCTCCTCCAACTCGCGAGGCAAGTCACCAGCACCATCGAAAAAGCCGAAACCTGAGAACATGCGAACGAAGAAACCACCACGGAAAGACCTAGATGGCAACAAGTGGATCATTGAGAATTTTGATAACGCTGGATCGGACGTAGTGGAGATCCAGGCGCAGCTATCACAGAGCATATTGATTTCGAGGTGCACTAAATGCATCATCAAGGTAACGGGAAAAGCGAACGCCATTTCGATCGACAATTGCACGAGCCTGTCTATACTGGTCGACTCGCTAGTCTCGAGTCTGGACGTCATAAAATCCCCGAAGTTTCAGGTGCAGGTTGATGGAGTGGTGCCTACCGTTCTGCTAGACCAGGTGGATGGCGCGACGGTTTACTTAGGCAATAAGAGCCTAAACACGGAGGTCTTCACAAGTAAGTGCACGGGGGTGAACATTGTCCTGCCACCGAGAGAGGGAACAGAGGAAGATGATAAAGAGTGTCCGCTTCCTGAACAGATCCGGAGTGTGGTGAAGAACGGGGTCGTGGTCCATGAAGTAGTCGAACATGCAGGATAGTGTCTAGCACATACAGTGTTTGCCGCTACTGGGCTTATCAGCATGGGTAGAAGCTAATGGAGAGTCCGGGATGTTGCATTAGATAGAATTTTGGAGCTGTAATCATAGTGTTGTATTAGTTGATCCCAGTGACGGATCTCGAACCTATAGCCACACGGGCTATCTACTTCTGCATCCAGTCGATTCAATGTTGGAGTACTAAAAGAGCCTTTCTTCTTTCTTGATACTATATGCGTAGAGTTGAACTGAGAGGAGAGCAGGGTGCAGGACCTCAGTTTGACGTGGCCTCGATTGGTAGCCAGGGCTTGAAGGGCAGTGTCGCTATTGTGGCCAGCAGGGATATCTGTTCTCGGCGATGTTCTGGGCATCCGAGTTACCCAGAGATCTTCATTCCTACTACTCGGTGCCGCCGGAAAGTGCGTCCCTTCCTATACAGGTTTTGACTCTTGGCGTTGTCTTTCCTGAACCTTAATGCATCCAGCCTCAACAGTAATTCAATTATAACATACCTTAACAAGATACAAAGAGTATACTGTCAAAATTTGAGCTAAATCTATCAAGTTAGTAGATTATGGGAGGATGGACTCTGTTCTATAGCCATTCTCAATTGGAGCTTGGCATCCCTACCCACTATGCTATATATGGAAGGATCTGTCACACTATGACGCCACTTATCGGCGGCGCCGAGCAGGCAGTTACTACGTACGTAGTACATCTTTGACACAATACCAAAAATAGGTCAGCTTGCAGCTACAAGCCCACGACAGCCTGCAGTATACAACTAGGACGGTAAGGTGCAAATCTATCTGCCTATCCAGCTTGAGCTTACCAGGAGGCCAATGGCAAGGTCATGCACCATATGCTACAAGTTATTTACAAACGCACAATGTTGAGCAGCAGCTGCCGTCCTTCAAGGAGTAGATGCAACACGTGGCCCGCCCAGTGAATATCATTCACTGCAGTTATGCAGTGATGCAGTGATGCAAATATATAAACTCTCCTTCTGTCATAAGCTCTAAACATTTCTACTTTCCCCCTGCGTTTACTTTTTATCAATACATTGATTCCAGATCTGTTCCGATTTCGATCGTCATGTCTTTCCTCAACAAAATAACCAAAGAGTTCGACGACCTCAAGTCCACCTTTAGCAAAGGCGATGGAACAAAGGAGCAGATGCACGAAGGTAAGATCATTCGTGAAGCAGATGCAACACCACAAAGAACTCACTTGGGCTCATAGAGACACACTATGGCCAATCCTCTCAGCATGGCGAACAGGCTCAGCAATATGGGCAGTCATCTTACGGACAGGGCCCACACTACGGCGGAGCACCAGCACCAGGGCTTACCAATGTGGATTCCTCACTGCCACCTGGCTGGATCAAGCAATGGGACTCGACCAGCCAACGATGGTACTTCGTCCAACAGGCAACTGGTCGAACGCAATGGGAGCCACCTGTCCTTATAGCCCAGAGTTATGGTGAGCAAAATACTTACCCATCAACCGGAGGCCACTACGAACAACATCACGACTCCACAATGAAGGCCAAAGGGCACAGTACAATGGGTGCAGCAGCAGGTGGTCTAGCCGTCGGTGCCGTTGGAGGTGCGATGGCTGGACACGCTCTAGGTATGACATTACACCTTCTGCTTATCTTGTTTGCCTTGATGAGGCTATGACTCTAAATAGTAACCACATAGGGGGACGATTCCGACTCCGACCATGAGCATGGAGCAGGTCATTATGCACCGCAGCTATCGGGCTGTAATCAACAGCCGATGCAACAGCAACCTTATCAAGCAGGCGACCCGTCTCTACCTTCCCAAGAAGATGAGCTACCAGACGAAACTCGATCCGGCTCCTCGGTCTCTGGTAGCGATAAAGAGGATGTCGAGGAGGCTAGAGAAGAATATCGCGAGGCGCTGGAGGAGGGTGATGATTCAGATATCGAGGAGGCCAGAGAGGAGTACGAGGAGGAGTTTGAGGAGACTTATAATGACTAAAGGCTGTCTGGCAGCGTGCAGATTTGCATTTTCTCTAACTTTTCCTCAGCTGTTTTCCATGACGGTCTACATCAGGCACATCCTGGTACTCTGTGACTGCTTTGTTATTACAGCCCCCAGCAAAACGTATGGACCATTAGCTAAAGCAACTGCAGAGAGCTCTCAATAGCTATACAGGCGCGTTTGTTGAATTGTTGGTCTCGCCTTCATGTCCCTATTCCTGTCTTCGATGCCTTTAATTCTGCTTCTCGCCGCACGAGGCTGACCACTAGGCCAATACCAATCCCCCTTTGGCAAACCCATCTCGATGATGTGAATGCCCTTTTTCGATTGGGCAAATTTGAGTGAAACCCAGGAGGCCTTACAGCTAACACTACCAGGGATGATTGGTTACGACATGCCTTTCACCTCATCTGTATTGACTAATCACGTCACCCACCGCTAGTGCTTGACTCCGATGTCTTACTCTCACAGAACCTAACACCCACAAGAATTAGAACCATTGAAGAGAAAATGTTTGTAGCATTGTGCTATTATTCGACAGCTCTCCAATGATCTCACCATCCATTAGGTTATGAACATCTAGAGAGTCAACGTTAATTGTGTTCTTAGTGTAACGATAATCAGAGATATGATAAGGATGCATTGAAACTCGGTCATCCCCATTGACGTACCCAACTGTCATATGCACTAAACCCCCATATGCCCGATTTCAGGGCCGATATCTCTGTTCATACCAAATTTCTAAGCCACTAATTTCGGCTCGCCCCCTATTTAACGAACTTTCATTTTGGGGACAGTGAGCTTTTGATGTGTTGCTTTTAGAACACTTTTCTTTCAATGTTATCTTCAAAATAGGACCAGCAACGTTCGAATAGTAGAATTATGCTCTGAGATCCAGAACGTCAAGTAATTTTGGTGCATCTGAGGGTGTAGTGCATATGACAGTTGGATACGTTAGTCGGAGACACAATGGGCAGGAGAAATGTTGTGAAAGAGTCAGACTTGGTGTTGAGGACTAACTATGTAGCTGTTAGTTGGTACTGTGGCTGAAGCTTACAGAAACTGCTAGCTCCTAATCGTTTTTCGTAAGGCGTTCGGGAGCTTTTCGGCTTTGCATTGCGACTTGGCGGACATCATGTTTCGGTGTTGGCTTCGAGATGCTCCGTACAGTACGAGGTATTACTGGAAGAAGTTGTTTCGTGTGTAAAGCAGCATCAGAAATAGTTCATGCATACTCTAAACTCATGCTAGATAGTAAGTACAGTCCATACACAACGCCAGACAGCTTCGACAGCAACAGCCAACCAAATAAATTATGCCTTGTTCGAGCACATCGGCGACGATGACCTCGGAAGAAAGGCTAAAGACGAAAACCTCGGGTTAGAGATTTCAGGAGATGCTGGAGGGGACTCGGTTGTACTTTATTGTGGGGTTCTATACCCCAAGTCTTCGTCCTTATGAATTTCCCTCGTTGTTTACAGGTTTCGGTTCCCCAAACATGTCTTTGATTACCCTTATGTGTCCCCTAGAACGCACACAGCTCCGGATTTCGCGCCTTGGAGCTGGAAAAAACGGGCCTACCAAGGAAAAGAAGCCTCTCACAGTATCCCAACAAAACTCCTGGTAACAGCTTGCACGTTGGGCCGATGCCGTGAACCCGGGTTCTAGGTGCAAATTGAATTGTTAACTCAGCGAATATACCTTGTCCTAGGCAGTGGGTAGAAGCTGCTCCACCCAAGGTCCAAAAAGGACGACTGATAACTTCTTCCCATTTAACCATCTCAACTTCCCTTTTCACGTCACTCGCAAGGTTCCCCAAGGCTAGATACCAGAGTTCGCCCTCTTGGTCTCCAATCTCACCTTTTCCATAATTCTGATTTCAGTCTCCTCTAACCTTGGAATTGGCTGACTCTCCCTCATATCATTCAAGCGCTCCATTAGGGTCTTGCGACCTTTTTCCCCTCAAGGCTCGACATAACATTTCAAAATAAGCCTTTCAAACCACTCGTGATAGAACCAGCAAACCCTGTCTTGCCAACCATGACATCTCGCCTTGCCTGGACAGGCATATTGGCCGTCTGCAGTGCCTGCTTCTTAATCCACTGCATCACCGGCCCAGACAACAAGACCTGGCAAGCCTACACCAGTGAACGAAAATGCGCTTACGAAGCCGAGCTCCCTCTCGCCGGCACCCTCTATCTCGGCTGCGACCCGATGGTTGCGACCCGATGGTTGACTACTCTTACGACTGATTTGAACTTAGGAATCACTCGAGGACCTTGCGGGACCTAATATCGAAGTAAGTAGAGTGTTGGAGAGGGAGCGGAGGGAGAGGAGAATGAGAGAAGGGAAGGCAACGGAGCAGGCTGAAGCCTAGGAAGACGGAGGCGAGGAGGGATGATGAGTAAGAGCAGAAGAGGGCTAGGTTGGATTGCAAGGATCCAGATGGTGGTGGATCTTCTGGACCAGATTCGGAATCATGGAGTGTTTGATCATCAGTATTGAAGCGGAGCTCAGTAGCGTTGCGTTCAGCTCACCTTGGAACCGAGGAGGGAGCTAGTGCCCTCCAGCAACCAAAAAATGGGGACCCAAAATGCATGGCATGGGCCTCGATCACCCATAAAATCGAAACTGGCGTTTCTGGCTTTCCAGGGGCGACTTCAAAAAGGGCTAGTTAGTGCCCTCCTGAACCATGGATAAGACCTCAACATCGCATAGCTATCCTCTGCTCTCATCAGTGCTCATCAGTGCTCACCATTAGTCTATGAATGTCTCTCCGCGGAGGCCGCCTTGGACATGAGGAGCGTGTTTGATACCATTCCCTCCAGCCCGAATTGTTCCTTCCCCACCACAGCTCTGGTCATATTCACTGGATAAATGGGTTTCTTCTCGCCAGCGGTAGCCCGCCGTGGACTGCCCCAACCCGAACAGAGAGACACTAATTCCTAACACCTTTCCTCCTCCATACAGAAAGTCGCTAGTTAGTAGGTATCCACGGTGTCACGGCCTGAACATCAAAGAAAGAAAAAAATCTTTCATTGACGTCGTCCCTCTTTGAAGAAAAAATGGATGTTATCCTCCCAGCTCGTCCGTTTTCTTACGAGCCAGTGAAGGGGGATACTACTTAGTATTCTCGTAGTCCATGGTCCCACGCGCACACACCGCTATGTTATTGATTTTCCCGGTCTTCGTTGACCGTCCCCTATTCCGCCTCCCAATTTCCAGAAAGCAACCTCCAGTCATACATCAGGGAGACCACCGTCCCTACCCCCATGAATAAATAGAACTGTCGATATGTCTCTCTGTCTGGTCCCCGCCAAAGCTGTTCCTTCTCTTCGAATTTCTCCTCCCTGTACTGTACAACAGGGCAAGTGGAAAGAGAGGTCCAACCCTTCTCTCTCTCCCTATACTGTAAGAATGGTTCGGGTGTGTTTCCCAGCCGCCACCGCCGCCGTCGTCGTCTGCTCTTCCATCTCCTGTTCTTTCCTCCCCCAGTTTCCCAATCCCCTCGGGACCCTAGAGTTCACCCTTCCCCACTCGTTTCCCCCAGACTCGTAACGAACGGAAACCGGGAAGATAATCCGTTCGTGGTAGAGAGGATCAAATATTGGATTTGGAGAAGCCAACCGGGGGGAGAAAATTAGAGATGGAGAAGAACTTGGTACACCTCCGTAGTATTTAATAGTAGTGCTCTATGTAAGAACCAAAAGCGGGAATGGTCTAGCGAGATCAATGCCACGGTTAGGACTAAGTACGAGAGCTCAATTTTCCATACAATCCCATACCGTCCAATACGCTGCACTCACTCGATTCGGCTCCGTAAACATTAATAACCAGTATCGTATCGATACTACAAACTAGTCAGTGATATAAATAAATGAACATTACCGCAACAACGGAAAAGAAAAGGAGAAAAAGAAGGGTGGGGATCATAACAATATCATGCATAATCAAAGATGAAGCACCCGTTCTGCACTTGTTCAAATCACACCCTATCAATCTAAAAGGGAATTCCTGCGTCTAGACATGGAGAGAAATTTAGATGCATCATTTCTGGAGTTAAGCTGGAGGAGGTAGGTGGCGCTGGAAAGGGAGCCGGACTTCGTCCATACTTGCCTGGGGGCCAAACTCGTAAATTGGAATGTTAGACTATCAGGGTATAGAATCTTAGGAGCAGTAAACAGGTTTTGGGTATTGAGCTACCTTTCCACGGTGGCACGGAGACTCAACCCGTGGGATGGTATAGTGTTTGGAGGATGCAGGAGGTATAAACTGCAACTCGGCTAGTATAGAATAAAAAAGGCACATGGCAAAAGTAGGCTCAAACTACCGCACCACAGCACATAATACCTCTTCGGCTACGCTGACCGAGCCAGAAGATGAAATGTCATGGCTTAGATCCCTCTGACCATAACAGTCCTCTCATTCTCCAATTTCTCCCGGTTCCGATCTCTCTCTGCCTTCTTCGCGTCCTCCAGGCCCTCGCAAGCATGGCTCTCCAGCATGCGATGTTTGCTGCAGAAGCGCTTTTGACAGAATCCGCAGTCACCGGTTATGGCCTGTGCTGCGGCTTTGCAGGGAGGATGCGCGCAGCGAGGCTTTCGGCGTACGGCTGTTGTGGTAGTAGGTGTAGATGTGCCGGATGTGGTTGTTCCTGCTGTTGTGGTGGGTGTAGCGGCGCCGGATGACGGAGTGTCTGGGCCGGCGGATACGGCGGGCTTGGTGTCGAGCGTGGAAGCTTCGCCCATTTCTGGAGGTGCGGTGCCGCCACGAAGAGGCGAGAGGAGCTCAAGGGTGGTAGCAGGTTGGAGGTTCAGCGATGATACCGTCTCGGAGGGGGGTAGATGTCGGCCAGCGAGGAGGAGTCTAACGTCGGAAGGGAGGGTGGTAGAGGCAGATAGGAAAGCCAGAACGTCGGAGATGGAGTTTGATGGTCGGACATTCAGAGGAATGGCTGTAAAAGTTGCATTATCAATAGTTGTTTCAAAGCCGATGGTGAGGTTTATGGCTTGACTTACTCTTTCCGCCACCTATCTTGACGAAGATCTGGACATTATCGGCTGGCAGCGACGAGGCTGACGATGCAGATGACGATCGTGAACGCATGATGGTGGATGGTTGGAGGTGGGCGAGGTGTCAGATGAAGTAAAAAAGGAGCTTGAGAAGAGCTTGTTGGGTAAGCAGCAAGCTAGGCGGTCTGGCAGCGGAAGGATGACTGTAGGTCGGATGCGACGAGGCAGGTCACAGGTCACAGGTCAGTGTTGAGTCTAAGCCGAACTGATGGCGCCGTAGTTTGTGATGGATGCGGTTTGACAAGGAACAAGGAGAAGGAAGAGGAGGAAGGAAGGAAAGCAGGTAGATGTGGTCAAGTCATAAGGAACGTTGGCTCTAACAAGCCACGCAAGGACCGGAGGACCTTGGGTGGTGGCTGTAGGAAGAGGATGATAGGGTACTCGTAGGAGATTAGCCTACGTTAGAGGATGGCAAGTAGGAAGGCCGAACGTGTTCCGGGTCTGTGTTCCGGGTCTGGGCTTCGGGCTCTACTACGTAGTAGCTTTTCCTGTGGCTCATTAAGATTCTGACCATCACGCCGGCCGGTTATGTCACCTTGATGCGGGATGAAGTGATTGCACTCTTGGCTTCTATGAATTCCTCGATCAAGTCTAGTTGGCAACGCAGACTGCCTGCTAGCAGGGAGATTGAGCGGCAATTATTGGTGGCTGAAGACTTAATCAGCAAGCGGCCCTTGGAACCAGTGCAAGTAATCTCGTGCCTGCTGTCCGAGAACAGACATCAACCTCTCCAGGCGGTTGTCTTTGGGTTGTCTTTGTTCCGTCACCACCATGGTTCACGTGAATAAAGTAGCAAAACACCCGCCTGTTTTCCCGCTCAGCGCATGCATGATCTATGGGCGATATCCTGCTCGCTGCTTGGTTAGAGGCTCACCATGCCTAGTGCCACAATCCTGGGTGTGTCTGGCAGCTGCAGGGCCCCTTAGTGCCACAATCGATGCATCCCATGCAGCAGCCCGAGGACAAATTCCCGGACAAGTCACGATCCAGCAATCTGTAGAGGACTTCTGACTTCCCGCTGCATTTGGAAAATGTGTATGGCTTCCCCGGTGTCGTTATGGTGTTGCCATGGATCCCTCTTATTTTATGTTGCCTGAGTCCAGATGTGCGTAAAGCCTGCTGCCACGTCCCACAATTCCTTATGAACAGCTGTGCATACTAAGGACACTCTGCTGTCCATGTGCCCCCCGCATAGTTCCCGTCACACATGAGATGTACTGAGGGTGCACAACTGTACCCCAGGCTATGCTGAACCCCAAAACCGTGTCGCTTTGCTCATTGCCACGTGGATTTATCACGAGCTTTCGGCTTTTTCTTTCCCTATATCCGGATCTAGATAGTCATCCCGCTCTGCTGCCTCGTACTCTCCAATCAGCCCTGTAACCACTTCTTTCGCTTCGTCAAATTCGCCAAGGCCTTCGGCGAAAGGGACCTCTTTCTTGTATTGCTCCAGAAAGGCGTTTCGTTTTCGCATCTTTTCATACTGAACCACTATTCTCTTGAACAATGTTGCCACACTAGTATGATTTGCCAACATGAGGCCCGATACTCGGTGTACGTTCTGAAGGTAGGGCGATTTCTTGGTTAAAGCGACCTGTATAGACGCAGGACCCCACGGAATAAAAGTGGCCAGCCGTCTTTCGCGAATGCGAAGCAGTGATTTGTGTACATCTGTCGGATCAGCTTCACCTTGGATGATATTAAGGATTGAAAGGTAACAGCTCGATTTCGAAGGGGTGATGGAGACCATTCGATTCTTCGGTTGAAGTAGACGTCTCATAACATCCAATACGGTCGTCTTCCTCACTGTCTTCGCCTGATCCACGTTATCACCAGTAAAGGGAGTGTAGGCTGTCATCAAAAAGTGACATCTAGGCGTGGGAATCAGCGACGCAATAATCCCTACCAGATCGTTATGCATATAACCGGGATAGCGGAGAGTCGTGGTCGAAGCAGACATGACAGTAGAAACTAGCTGGTTAGTTTGCTGAAAAGAAGGTTCTTGGACGTGAAGACGATCTGCCGCTATTCGTGTTAAAGCGCCGTTGTCGAGCACCACCACGGAGTCGGCGTTTTGTGTCAGCCTTCGCATAGCAAGCAGGCTATTATAGGGATTAACAACGACATCGCCGGTCGCTGAGTCTGGAAAGACAGAATATGTCTGCATCAGCTTTTTGGGAAAGCGATCGTTCATCCGCTCAAGAAGGAATGAGCCTAATCCAGATCCTGTACCTCCACCAATCGAGTGAAGTAACATGAATCCCTATATGACCAGATGTTAAGCGTCTACAGGAACGAGGGATTCAGAAACTGACCTCTAACGAGTCGCTGCCATCTGCTTCTCGATCAATCATGTCGAATACTTCCTCTTGGACACTTTCTCCCGCGGCGTACCCGGCTGCCCAGTTGTTTCCAGCACCCATGCCATGCTGGCCAATGAAGAAGTTTTCGGGATTGTAGATGTTCTTGTACGGGCCGGTCTGTATGCTGTTGATCACCTGAGTCCGTTAGCAGGCATTTCAAGCTCGTTGCAACGTAGTTGTACTCTTGGTTCAAGATCTATCAGAATAGCCCGAGGAATGTATCGGGTGTCGTCACTCTTTCAAACCACTCATCAGCACAAATAGCAGTTGGTTATGCCTCTAGCGAACCTGGTAGAAGAAGACGTCTTTGCGATCCCCACCCTCGGTTGCAAAGTCCTCGAGATTTCCGTCTTGACTGATGCCATGCTCCTGACATAATTGCTGCCAAAATTGACTGCCGACTATTATAAGGACTCGTCAGATCTGGGCCGTTGGATGTTGGTGCCACAACCCAGAGGAGAGAAAAGGTACCATTGTTGCCGCACTGGCCAGTTTGGATGGTGATGATTTCTCTACAGAACGCTCAGCTAGTTTCTGGTGCCTCTGGGAGCAGTAAGCCTCACCTGGGCATTTTTCAGAAGATGTGCAGTTCAATATGTCGCCTGGACCTTTATGTTGATATTATTAACCTGTTAAAGAGACGCGTCAATGGACACGCGATGGGTGCGGGGAATTCCTGCTCGAGTTTGCTAAATTCCTCACTCTACACAACGGCCAGGTCTTTGTGCAGATATACATAGTATGATTCTCTCATCAGTTCACCGTGGTAGTCCTTATACTTCGAGTTGGGTATGATCGTGAGATGAGAGCTCTAGCTCTGTTTGCGTCCGTTGTCGCGTTTCCCCCTTTGACCCGTCTAATTCTATGTACAGTTAAAGCCCCATCCGAAATGAATGAAAATGCCTTTCCAAGACGCGATGGTCTTCTCATCATATTTTGAGTGCCTTCGTTGGGCAGGATCTTGCCTGATGTTGTGAGTTCTCAGTTGTACCCCTGAGCATGCTGAAGTTCCGTGAACGCCTTGCGTGTGCTTAACCAGTCCCAGTCTACAAAATCCCAACCCATCATCTCGGAACCTTTCCTAGGTGACTTCCCTGTGGTGATCTCCTCCTCATGAAATCCTCCACCGTTTCAGGGAAGCGAAACCGGAACAGCAGACCAAATACCAGAACCACAAGGTACAGCCAAAAGGTGTATAACCACTGCACAAAGCTCACCCGGACTACACTCCCATCCTCGCTCCAGTCATCACATATATCCCTGAACTTTGTGACATCGTCTGTGATAACTCCATCAACCTCTTTCTGAATACTCCACTTCATCAGGTTCTTTTCATTTACCGTCCAGACAAACATCTGTCTCTCAGCTGCCTTAACATCGCGAATAAATCTCGAACCGATAGGTCCTAGCAAGACTTTTTGTAGCATATTAAAGCCGACGTTAGGTACAGACAGAATCTGGCGTGCATAGCATGTCGAGAATCCAATATGTGTCAATGGGTATCTGGGAAGGTAGCGGATACAGAGTGGGAGGAATTTGGCCGCCCATATGCCTAGCAGTACTCTGTCCCTCCACAATCTCATCTGGCTTGGTGCTACTGAATCAATGGTGTGGGCGATGAGCCTCATAACGTCGTCGGCGTTGTTGTCAATTTTGATATCGAGTAAGATCCAGATATGTTCGAGGCCGGGTTGTGCTATGTACGTCAAAAGATCGAGAAGGCGTGGCATGGGTTCGTGGGGTTCTTGAAGAGTACGCAGCTGAGATAGTTCGGCCCAGTCGCAGTCAATTATCTTCTTTTCCATGCCGAAGCAACGTTTCAAATCGGCATCGTGCGAGAGAACAACGACGCCATCTTTCGACAAGTGAATATCTGTCTCAATGGCGTGAGCGCGGCCTTTGACCGCAGCCTTGAATGCGCGCATGGTATTCTCTGGATGATGCGCTTTGTAGCCTCGATGAGCGATGGCCTGGGGGAAGCGTCTGCCATGTGTGTCACTTATTGCGCGCGTCCAGGGTGCTTCGGTGAGGTCAGCGTATGTCCGAAAATCGCGCATACTGAATTGTCTCACGCATGGGAAAGTCCTCGTTCTGGCCTTTAAGCAAAGCTGTCTTTTCCGACGGATCATGCGATCTCTTTGCGGATGAAGACCACGTTGGCGACATCTGCGCACTGAAGGAAAGACCAGACTCAGCAGCCATCGCTGCGTGCATGCTGGCTAGCCCAATTGTGTGAAACGAAAAGCACAAAAGCCTCAAAATATACGGACAGACCTCCAGATAGAATGGACAGCAACGACTCTTACAGTCCTTCCAATACAGACATGGGCAAGATGCGGGTGAGCATCAAAAGAGATTACCAATGCAGGGACAAGTTACATTCAAGGGTAAGATGCTCATCTACACCATGGAAAAAGACAAGGAGGACTAGGAGACTGGGGTACGTAGTAAGCTTGCAACACCACGCCAGCGCACTCCACATAACTTATCCATAACGCAAATAGGCAAGTGACACCAAGATACGCAGATGATCATCATCGTTTCCACACATGTAACTTGTCCTTGAGATCGGGATTACTTTAGGATGCTTAGGCATGAGAAAGTGGCCCTAGGTCACCTATCCTGCGGCACTAGAAGGGAATGGTGCATCGATCTTCAGAGCGAATTACCGGACTTGGTCTTTGAGAGCATGAGTGTGATGACCGATGAGGCTTGGATCCGAGTGCTACTGCTCACGCGCTTGATACACTTTGGGTCTGGAAAGGCTGGCCTATATCCGAAATAGTGTGCAAGTCGAGGTTGGTGGCTGTTTCGGGTAGTTGTCCTCCCGGTGCCCAACCAAATGATGGGTCGCGGCCTGCAGCGTGCAATTTTGGGACATTCCGCCCATCCTCCATGCATACGAAGCTGCTTGACAATTGCGGGCTAATCATGCTCTGTACTCCTGATTCGATGCCCAAAAGACATTGTTCCAGCCGCTTCACAGGCCAGATCAAACAAAGGTTACATCATCCATCGAACCCATTGTTCTAGACCCTGTGCAATCTCACTGAAACAAAGCAGTTGCTGGCCAAACACGTGAGGGCGGCTGCAGCACCGGTAGTTAATCTAATCAGCCGAAGCTTGTTAGCGCCACATCCGGCGTTCTATCCGATGTAGCAAATGGTTCGTTTTGACATGGCCGTTCGGATATGGTCCATACCGAGTAGTGGAGCACGAGTTTCAGGTTGTTTGAGGTACATGGACAAAGGCGATTATGATGTGCTTCCTGCAACCGGCATACACCAACCAACACGAATTGTGTCCCTGCCATAAACGGGCCTTTCTGGGTCAATCTTTCCTCATGTCCACCACACATCGAATGCAATCTCCTGCCTTCATATCCTGGAATGCAGTATTGATGCTTGCCAAAGGTTGTCGATGGGTGATGAACTCGTCAACCTTCAACTTACCATTCATGTAGTCGTCCACCAGATCTGGTAGCTGCGATCGTCCTTTAATGCCTCCGAAGGCGCAACCTTTCCATACTCGGCCAGTAACCAATTGGAATGCTGGAGTTCATGTCTCAGTCAGCGACTGCGAGGGTTGTGTATCATCATCACTTACGTCTGGTTGAGATTTCTTGTCCTGCTGCAGCCACTCCGATGATGATACTCTGACCCCATCCCTTATGACATGCCTCCAGGGCCGCTCTCATCACGCTCACAATCCCAGTACAGTCAAATGTGTAGTCACAGCCGCCATCCGTCATCTCGATAAGCTTGTCTTGGATGCTTTGCTTGCTCAATTTATTTGGATTCACAAAATCTGTACCTCCAAACTTCTTAGACCACTCCTCCTTTCCATCATTAACATCTACAACGATGATCTTGCTGGCACCCTGTTTGACAGCACCCTGAATCACGGACAGGCCCACGCAGCCTGCGCCGAACACTGCCACGCTGGAGCCCTTCTCCACATTAGCCGTCACAACAGCCGCGCCATAACCGGTTGTGATTCCGCATCCAAGTAAACAGGTTCGATCCATTGGCGCCTTGTCTGTGATTGCAACCACGGAAATATCCGCTACCACGGTGTATTGCGAGAAGGTCGAGGTGCCCATAAAATGGAGGAGGTCTTTGCCCTTGCATTTGAATCGAGACGTCCCGTCGGGCATGACGCCTTTACCTTGCGTTGCTCGGATCTTGCCGCATAGATTTGTCTTGCCAGACTTGCAGAACTTACATTCTCTGCACTCAGGAGTACTGGAGTACGTCTGTAAGTTTCATATATCCTGCAGGCCAGAGATAGGTAGCCTACTATAGAGGCACCACATAATCTCCTGGTTTCACAGAAGTAACGCCTTCCCCAACAGATTCAACAATGCCAGCACCTTCATGACCAAGGACAATTGGAAATGCTCCCTCAGGGTCTTTGCCAGACAAGGTGTATGCGTCTGTCGTTACCCATCAGGATGATCGATCAAGGCTTAGGACAGCTGGTCTCACCTGTATGGCAGACACCAGTATAATAGATCTCTATCCTGACTTCATGCGCTTTTGGTGGTGCGACCTCGATGTCTTCAATCGACAGGTCCTTGCCAGCCTCCCATGCAACAGCAGCCTAGAGTTCTGATGAGATTTGAAAGAAGCGGGATTTAAGTGAAAACCAACTTTGCATGTGATCGTCTACAACTCATCGTCAGTGAACAGCTCATCTACGAGGCATTCTTCATACCTTTCCAACAGTGCCTGAAGACATGGTGGTAAAAATCTTCTCTTCCTTGGTTCGTGGTGGGGTTGCTTTTACGGTTCGTGTTATTTAACAAGAATGATATGAACGGAGCAACCGACCAAATCACACTTGTCAAGCTGGCGAATTTATTTATTTGGTATGGTGGGGAAGAGTGATGCCCAAGTTCATGAGGGGTCTTTTTCTTATTAACTAACTACTCCGCAATACGGAGTAGTCATCCATAATTCGGGATGACAGGGATTTGCATGGAAAGGTGCTTGGCACCGAGCTTTGATCGCTGTCAGCGAAACTTTCCCTTTTTGCAAGCTTCAAGACATTTTCTTTCTTATTTGCCATCATGGTCTGGGGCGTCTTCAACAATGGAAAGGTACAGAAAATCACCATGGGGTATAATGCGTTGATCCACCTAGAACAAGGTGGCTAAGGATAAAGGCCTGCATGGGAAGAGTCGAATTGAGGTGATCGAATCCAGTATTGTTAAATCCTGTGCCTTCGCTGGTGTATTTCCTTCAAACGCCGCTCATGCCAACCTTACGGAAGCGAAGATCTTCAAAAGGAGGAGCAAGACTGCCTCCTCTTGATATAGTACATGAATTTTCCTCTGAATGCGCAGGTGAAGCAGCCCTACCGCCCAGGTAATTGGCCTGCTTGCATGGCTGCATTCTGTTCTTGAAATCGTGATCCTAGCCGTTCTGAACCTTTAAGGTATTTATCCACGCATCGCATGACGCAGCCCTCTTCTCTCGAGATCAATGATTTGGTCGTAAAGTCGTTCACGCAATCATCAAAACATCGTTGAACAAGTTTGGAGTACATCTATGAGCATCATAGTGTGTTAGTGAAGACTACATGTTTAGAGAACACCGCACGGCATGCCGTTGGTCAAATGGTAAACTTACAGTCATGAACTCCTTCATCTGTTTCTTCTCCATGCGACTCGAGAGCTCCCGCTGCTCCGCTGGATTGAGACTGCAAGTCTGATCAGCATCGAGATCAAGCAGCTGGATTATGGCAGAACACCCACCTATCCATGATGTGTATGGGAGGTTATTTGATCCGAGAGACGTAGCGACGGGCGGTCCGGCTGCGCTGTGAGGATTATGCGTTGTGGTTGGTGTATAGATTAGGATGGTTGTAGAACTCGCACAGGCTGCCTCCAGCATACGATTAGGTCTTGGCAGGTATCCTGACAGCGAGCATGAGATTAATTCTGCGGCCTGGACGCGACAAACAATCTCACCTTCTTTGTCACCGTGCTGTGGACCTGTGGCTTTAACTGTTCCTGGTAAAGGCTAGTTAAAGATTATCATGGTTCCCAAATAGGTGGGCATGAAAAGGAGGCTCATGAGAGGTTGCTGAGCTGTGGATATGATACAACTCCAATAGCGATTTGAGTCAGTCAAAGTTTCAAGCTTTCAACCTTCTCATAAAAATGCTTCGTTGATTCGTCTATCCTAATGCTCCGTATGTATGAGTGTTTGGAAACCTTCTCATTCTAGTAGATGATTTGCAATAGCGGTATGGACGACAATTTCATCTCGTAGTCCAGCACATCGTACACATATACTATTCGTGTACCTGTGTACAAATATTTGAAATAGAAGCTGCTCAAGAGCCTGGCAGCAGCTTCCCTGTAGTGCAGATTGGAGAGAATAATGGCCAATATTATATCCAGTGCTGCCAGAGGACGCTAAGAAACAGGTCCACCGTGCGCTGTGGCACTGCAGCATTCAGTGATCTCTCTCAATCTCTAGCAAGTAGCTTGACTGGCCTTAACTTAGTGCGCTCAGCTTCTGCTCGTCACTGGAAGTGCTGAAACTGGATGCCAACGAACATCATCCTTCCCTGTACTATTTTCAACGCCCAGACAGCCAGTTGTCAAGCCCAGTCTCTCCTCGTGCTCTCCTCACCAACGTCCCCCAAGCTCATCGCGTCGCGTCTCTCAATCATTTACAAATTTGCTGCTCATGTCAGTTGCCGTACTCAAAAGGAACCTACAATATTGTCGAGGCCCGAAGGACCGTTGATCATAGTATCAAAGCGCCTTTTCCTCTCTTATCACTGCGACCATTCAGCCTCAATTCTCCATCTGGAGAACGCCTTCTTTGAGCTAGTGGAGCTCAATGAAAACAAGCGTCTGGGCGGCATAAATATCACAAAGATCAACAGTCAGTTCATTCTTCAGGAGGAAAAGCAGCAACGTGTATAGGCTGGCTTTGTGATGGCGACAGAGAGGTCGCAACCGGCAGCGGCCACGCAACAGGTACAACAGCCACCACATCAAGGCGCTCCAGCATCTACTGCGGCATACACGGCTGCCTCCCCACCATCGAAACGAGAACTGGCATCGTGGTGGAAGAAGTTTCGAAAGAATACTGAAAAGAATGAAGAGAATGGTGAGCACTCTGCGAACGCTATTTACGTCTGTAACATATCCTGGAGGAGTGCGGACAGCGCTCCGTACCCCTTACATCTGTGGTCCAATTCTGCCGCCGTCATCGCGTTCTCCTACTTGTGAACTTTACTGTGACTGACACCTTCTAGCTCGAATCTCGCCGGGGATTTTTGGAGTGCCTCTAGCTGAAAGCATTAGATACGCCAATGTTGCAATTTCTCTTACGAACGAATCGGGCGAAAGCTTCATCTATGGCTATGTTCCCATTGTGGTTGCCAAATGTGGTGTCTTCCTGAAAGAGAAGGGTGAGTCTTCAAATGCAATTCTTTTGAAATAATTACTGAGATCATCCAGCAACTGACGTGGAGGGAATATTCCGACTCAGCGGTTCCGCGAAGCGAATCAAGGATCTTCAGACCATTTTTGACTCCCCAGAAAGATATGGTAAAGGGCTAGACTGGACAGGATACACTGTTCACGATGCAGCAAACATTTTCCGACGGTACCTTAATCAGCTTCCGGAACCAATCGTGCCGTTAGACTTCTACGAACGCTTCAGAGATCCTCTTCGATCACACCAAGCGCAAGCAGTCGGTGATATGGAGGCTCAAGAGCATGACGTTGGAAACTTTGATCATAATAATGCGGTTTCTACATATCAAAGATTGATCACCGAGCTCCCGCCTCTCAACCGCCAGTTACTGCTCTATGTCCTTGATCTGCTGGCTGTGTTCTCATCAAAGTCGGATCTCAACCGGATGAATTCGGCCAATCTTGCTGCCATTTTCCAGCCTGGCATCATATCCCACCCTTCACATGATATGGCGCCGAAGGAATATCGCCTCAGTCAAGACGTGCTCATCTTCCTCATAGAGAATCAGGACAACTTCCTATTTGGTATGAGCGGCACAGCTGTCGACGAAAAAACTGTGAAGGATATGGAAAGTGGACCACCCACAATGGTTTCTCCTAAGGCCACCATGGGTCGTTCAGCCTCGAATGCTAGTGCAGGCGCAGATAGCTTACGAAAGTTTGGACGAAGAAACTCGGTGTCTTCAAGGCATTCAAAGGCTTCGACTGGTGCCCCTAGCCCTGGCACTCCAGGCACTCCGTTGACAAATACGACTTCGGCAGGTGGTGTGCAACGGAGCAACACATTGCCAACCAAGAAATCTCCAGCATTAGCCTCGGCAAGATTTCAGAGGTCAGTTGAGCCTGCTACAGCAATGCCTTCAGACCGGACTCCGGTATCAACCACTGGAATAGTTGCCGGAAGGTTAGCCGTTCAACAAGCAGAGTCGCCCGACACACCTTCGTATTCTAAACCGACGAAGGATCAGGAGGTTGTGGAAGATACCAACCGCAACACAGCACCAGGGACTGATACTACGCCAGAGCAGAAGCCTAAGCTGCCAAATCTGCCCACCAACCTGGTGGTGGTTCCTAGTGTAAAGAGTCCTACTCGAGAACGCAAGATATCTCACCTCTTTGCAAGGTCACCCATTCTTGGCCCTAGAGAAAGCGACAGCGAACAGAAGGATGGACGGCAGCCCAACAAGCTGAGAAAGAAGCAACGATTACCTGGGAGTGCCAACGACAGTGCGCATAGCTCGCAGAATTCATTACAGGCAGACGTCGCTGGACCTCAGACGTTCCACACACCACTTGCTTCTCCTGAACTTCTCAGTCACAGCCGACCCGATCCTCTTGCAGCCTTTCATCCTTCTGTATCCAGTGACACCGCTACACCCACTGCAGAAGCGCCATATGGCATTCGACATTCTGAACCTGTTACTACCCAGGACACTAGTGGGCAAGATCAAGCTGGCAGTAACCTCCAGCCACCTAGATCCCCGGAAACGTCGGTCCACTCTCGCTCATCATTTTCAGACTTTGAAGGAGGTGAAGATCTGCCCGTGAAGAGTAGTGGCCACCGCCATCGCTGGCGCTTCTCTTCTTCGCAGAAAAAGAACGGAGAGTCTCCACTTGCACCTCCTCCTCGAATCGGACAGAATGCGGGCGCTCGAGGCAGCAACAGTTCTCTTGGCAGTTCACATCGACCTCGCAAGAGTTTCACAGGTGATTCTCAACAGACGCAGCAGACCGGAACCGACACTTCCAGCCAGCGTGCGAATCCGCCCCCTCGATTGAGCCAAGAATCATCCGAGCTCCTCAAGGATAGTGGCTCCGAGCCGGAAAAGAAGGGCTTATTTGGGAAATGGAAAGCCAAGATCGCACATTCAAAAGAGGAGAGAAAGGAGCGAGATCTGGAAAAGGAGAGGGCAAAGAGTCCAGGAAGAAGTGAGGGCGAACGTACTGGATCAAGGCACAATCTCACCGCTTTTGCACAAGACCATCTGCCTCATCGAGGGAGAAGCATGGAACAGCAGAGGGAAGCCGCGCTACCAAGCGTCAGCGAGACTACTCCTGGGACTGATACCATGTCGCCCGTGCCGCCAACACCCGTTACAGCTATCAAGACTGTGGCAGAGACGACTCATGACCAGGTCACAGCGAATGTGCAGGGCCAGACATCAACAGCTCAGTCACCGACGACTGCAAGTTCGAAAGGAAAGGACCAATGACGATGCAAAGAGGCAAATATATGGCCGCAACGGCGGGCTTAAGAGTGAAGCAGTCTTATCTCCACGGCTGGACGGCCGACCAAAGTTGCTCCCAAAACACGAATGGAGACACACCGCACAGGGCATGAAAAGGAATTGCGGGTTGTGCTGGGCGAAGTCTCTTATGTTAATTACGGGAACGAGTTGGCATGCTCTATCCCCTCCCCTTTTTTTCTTGAGTAAGCAATGGCCCTATATATTATTTCTCCCATTCTGGATCAGGCACATCCCAGGCCCCCCAAGATAGGATTACGATAGCCTAGGCTAGCCAGTTGGATACGTGATGAGTATATGAGCGTTTTTGGGGGGGGGGGCAAATACGATCCAGGTCATGTTTCATCTTTTTGTATTGTATTGAATTGAATACGAATTATCTATTAATTTAATAAGATGGTCAGACCCGCATCCCCATCTGCGTGTGCGCGCGAGTTGCTGCTCGCTGTAACGTCCTGGCGCGCGTGTATGTCCACCGATGTGGGGGATCTGGTGAGCTCAATTTTCCAAGAGACGATAGATAAATTATGCTTTCGATACATTATACGTCACAGGATGGGGAGGCTGTGTCGTGTCGTGTCGTGTCTTCGATTCTCCTTCTCCTTCTCCTTCTCCTTCTCCTTCTTCGGGGGGATAAAAGTATTCTCTCGTCGTGGAGTGAGTGACTAAACTAACTTAACTAACTTAGATGAAAGTGGCTGGCTGGACTTGGGGTATACGACGCGAACGGGAGAAAAGTTCGAGAATGGGGATAATCCGGAGAACAGGTAACTTGTATCCGTAATCCATTTTGTTATTATTTATTTATCAAGAAAGCTGAGCTGAGCTTGACGCGCTAAAATGTCCGACGCTTTTTTTCCCACAGCCAGAAATCAGATCATCTACAAACCAGACGCCGAAGCACCACCGGCGCTTCTCCACCGCCGCACGGGTGAGAAGAGATCCAGGTCAGTGCCAATAACAAGCTAGAGCTCTGTTCTAATCTAGGTTTTTTTTTTTCGCTTCGCAAACCCGTTTACCTAAAGCCCATTTACATAGCCATTCACGACGCTTTTAGCCACCTTGCCCTGGCGGTGCTGGTCCCGCTGCTCTCCATCTGCGCCATCATCAGGAGGCGACATGCCATTCCGATACAACCACAGGCGGCTCAACTCCCTCGGTTTCCTGGCAACCTTCCGATCCTCAGGCCCTTCGCCCGTGCGTCCCGAGAGGTCCAGCCCGTCCTCCCTCATCATGCTCTCCCACTGCTTGGCCTTGCCCAGCTCGAACCCCCACCAGCCCAGCTTCACGCCCCAGGGCCAATCGCGCCAGCCCAGGTGTTGCTTATCCCGTTCCCCGTCCCACACTTCGGCCTCGCTGTCCATGAACCCGTTGTTCTCCTTGACCCTGACCCCCACAGTGCCGTCAGGCAGGGTGTACTCCTCGCGCGGGAACATGTAGGCGAGGTAGTGCTGACTCAGCATGTGGCCGGTGGCGTTGCGCTTGAACAGCTTGCCTCTGAAGCGGTTGTTGTCATCGGCTCTTCCATTTCCAACCCCCTTGGTGGTGGTGCCAGCTATGGTGTTCTTGAGCGGCAGATGGATGAAGCCGAGGATGCCGAAGCGAGACACAAAATCACCCGAGTTGGTGTAATGCTCCACATGCCTGATGACGCCCAACTTCTTCTCCGCCTCCTCGTCCTCTTTAGAATTATGATGGTGTCGATTCGGATTGTTCCAGTGATTAGCCGCGCTCGCGAACGTGTAGATCTCCAACTTGCCCAACACGCTGGCCGGCAGATCATCGAGCAACCAATCTAGGATCGCTCCGCCCTCGATCCCGCCCTGGCTGTGCAGGAGCAAGACAACCTTCTTGTTCTTCTCCTCCAGCAGGCTCTTCTTGACCTGGTGGTAGCCGGTTCGGACGTCGGTGGTGGCGTAGCACGCATCACGCTGGATCAGGCATTCGATCAGATCGAAGATGATGCCGTAGGTGATGTTGTGCACGCCGATGATGCGCCGCCGGAAGATTTGGGATAAGGTGTTCAGGTTGGATTGGAACCAGTCGCGGCCGACACTGACGCCGTTGATGAAGATCCAGCATTCGTCCGAGTGGTCGTGGTCTTTTTGGTCTGGGTTTTCGGATCGATAGCGGGTCAGGTCGATAGTGGAGGTCTGCGGGGTGCCGTCGCCGTTGAGGAGGAGACAGAAGTAGTAGTTTAGGACCAGGGTGATGGCGATGCCGCCCAGATAGAGGGAGGCGGGGATGGGGATGATGAGGCCGTAGACCAGGGCGAGGAGGAACAGGGGCTGGCCGATTAAGAGGATCACGTGCAGGAGGAGAGATCGCACGTTCTTGGCGTTAAGGAGGCAGAGCTCGTCTTCCGCGTTCACGGACCAGAAGGGTTGGAGTACCCCGGGGATGCTGGCTGGGAAGTTGAAGAGGATGTCCTTGATGAGATAGAGTTCGCTGAGGAGGAGCTGGAGCGGGGAAGCGGTGTAGGGCAGCGGCGTGGAGTCGGAGGGACGATTGAAGCCGTCCATTCTGAGATCGGAATCATGAAACTGCGGAAAAAGCCAAAAAAGAGTGAGACGATGACACAGGCGAGGAAATCGCTCAGAATGGAAATACCGCCAAAAGAGAGAAGTCTTTGGGTGTTCCAATGGAATGCATGCACACACACAATCTCACACACGCAAAAAGCAAGAAAAGCAGAGCAATATATACACATACAACAACGGAACTTCAACTTCAGAAGGTCAATTGAAAAAACATGTGAAGCATTCGGACGACTTCGAAGGTCAGCGAAGAGTGATAAGGGAGTAGTATTCCGTCGAGAGGAGTTAGCCGGGAAAGTACGACAGGCGTCCCGGTTTCAGGTGGCCGGTCGCGTGATGGCTGGGACCGGAGGACCTTCGGACCCAAGTATTGAGTTGAGTTCTGGGCAGAAACGAGGACCTTTGCACGTGGATATTATGGACACCGTAGGAGGAGAGGCATGTTCGAACGCTTGTTCGACGCCGGACTATTATTCTTCTTCGAGAGTGGGCGGCGGTGTGATTGACTACCAATAGGCTGGTCAGTGGTCAAAGCGAAGGCAAGGCTGGGCTTGACGAGGCTGAAGCTGAGCGTTTTGGTGGTTTGGCCCCAACCAATAGACTGGTCTAGGCACAGATGGCTGATTAAGATTGCGATGGACAAGCCTTCTAGCGTACGTACTTAGTAGTAGGAGAAAAGGAACATGTGTAAAAATAGCTCATATCATTCCACTCGCACAAGCGGGACTGTCCATGACAGCGATTGGCGATTGGCGGTTGTCGGTTGTCGGTTGTCGATTGTCGACGGAGGAGAGGCGTCTGGCTCGAAAGGAGGGCAGCTTTCGACCACATTATTGAGACAGGCTCTACCAGCCGTGTTACTCACCGCCTTGCCCAAACGGTCGACATGTGCATGTGTAGTATATCTGTCACAAAGTACCATGCAGATGCCACTCGTTTGGGCTTCTTTGTAGCGCAAGGATTGGTCTTGTCTTCGTATCCGGAAAAGATGCCTCGTGCTTGACTAGCTTCAGCCCTGCAGGGAACATGATAGACCGTGAACAAGGACAGACCAGGGTGCATGTATTATATGTGTGTATGGGCTTGGTAAAGTTACGAATGCATCAGAAGACCTGCATTGCATTGCAGCAAGGCATCCCCCACGCCATACGAGGGAGTCCATCCACCAGAGTCCTATCGTACCTGCACCGTGAGGCTCTGGCTAGCTGCTCCTAACAAATGCACAACAGAACGAGCTGCCGCCTGGTCAAAGACCAGGCAACGAGTGAAACACATTGCAAAATCGACCATCATACCCACATGCAGCATAATCCGTTTTCCCGTTGCCGGAACATTCCCATCTACTTCTCGCGCATGCCACGAGGGTGCTGGCAGGGGGGTATATAAGCTTGGAAATCAAAGAACCACCCAGTAGTAAAAGCAATGATGAAGTTTTGGGACGCCGTGAGTCTTGCTTGTACAGTGAAGAAAATTCGTCCAAACTCGTAACGAAGCATCGCTGGGAAATTGTTGAAACAGAACCAATCTCCAAACGTCTTCGCCAAAGCTAAGCAAGTGTTGTCTTCTCCACTAATTCCTGCATGACTCTTCTCTTCTGCTCTTCAGCCTCTTTCCGCTTGTGATTCTCTCGATCAGAGGACAGGGTTCGTCGTAGTGCAGTTACCGTCTTCATAATCCTAGCTCTTTCAGACCGACCATTCTCGCTCACTTCTGCTGGTAAAATGACCGACTTCTCTTTCTTGATTCTGCAAAACAGGGAGGAGAAGATGAACTCCTCACCATTGCCGTTATAGAGAGGTATATGACGATATCCCCGCTGCAGACTGCTCAGCTTAGCAGTGAACACTGCCAGCTGTCTGCAATTGCTGGCCGTGGTCTTGCCGCTAGGTGAATGCCATACGATCCATCGCACGAAAACAAGGTCCGGATGTCTAGTCTCCAAGGACAACTCAAAGCAGTCATTGAAAATGGGATTGTAGCCATTGTCGTGTATCACCTTGGTCCTACGCCCATAAGGCAAGCCAATCCCTGAGTAGCCGTTTCGAGACGAAGAGTCGGTGCCACCACTGCCAGTAGCAATCCCTCGAGCCTTATCCTCGGCAATAAACATCTGGATCTCAACGAAGGGATTGATGCTGTTCTCGGAGGCCATCGCCCGAAGACGTGGTAGCTGTTGAGCTGAGATCATGTCGACAGAAAATTTGACCAGATGCTTGGGCAGCCTGTGCCGGGTCATCAGATCACCAGTGGTCGAGCTGTCCGGGCCAGATGGTCGAAGATACTCTGGTTTGAGGACATAGCCATAGCGATCATCACCGGCAGCAAACATCGCCTGATTCATTTGCATACACGGATCATAAGTCTGCCAATTGAGTGCCACCATCTGCACGCCACGTCTCCAAAAGGTGTTGGGATCAAAATTCGAAGAGTCCAGTCGCATGCCTTTGGGATAGACTCTAAACATGTGACGCATGTTGTGGTCTTCAAATTGTGCCTTGGAAAGAGCGTCTCTGCATAACCGCCCCGCCTTTGTCTCATCCAAGGAGAAGATGTGATTGTATTCGCCGCACTCCGGGCCAATGAGACTGCGATACTTGTAGCCTTGGAGATACACGCCTAGGTTTGCAAGTGCCTTTGTGATTTTGCTGGTCGCCTTTTTACCCTTTCTTTTGCTGCTTCGGTTTGAGCGGCCTCGTGCACTATCACTGTCTTCTCCAGCACTGCTTGCACTCGTAGCAGTCATTGATCTTTGACCTGGACTCCAAAGAGGACCAGACTGATTGCTTGGTGGGCTCGTTGATGGGGCTGTAGCCAAGGACGGTAGACTTAAGATTGACGGTGAGTCGTTCAGTGGACTTGGTATCGAGTATGGGGAGCTGGTACTCCGTTGCCGTCCGACCTCGGATTTGTCGAGAGGCAATGTAGTGTCGCTTGCAGGCACCGAAGACTTGACCTTCACCAAGATTCGATACTTCAACTCCTCGGGTGTAGGCAGTTGTCTTAAGGACTCGTGGATCGGTTCGAGAACCAGCCTTTCGCCAAATCCGTCCTTCATGATGTGCACCATCCTCCCTTGTTGTTCAGCATCGCAATGGACCTCGAGCGAGAGGATGAGTGGATAGGGCGAGACGTCAAAAGCGTAGCGAGATATAACGCTGATACAATCTGAAAACAAGACATGTGACGTGCCTGTATGGCCGTGGGTAACGATTGGCTTGCCCTCTGAACCATTCCAGCAATCTATTTCGACACAGCGGCAGCCGCGACGGAGTGCAGATATGTATGCTTCTGTACTTGACTCGCCGGCGAACTGGCGACCGCGGAGGTAGGTATTATGTGAGCTCGAGATGAAATACTCGTTGAGTGGTCGATCGAAACGGACTTCCGGTTTCTGACCAGTGTAAATATCGCAAGCAGGAGAAACCATAAAAGAAGAGAAGGCCTCGAAAGTCATGATGTCGAGGCCGGGGCTTGATTGAGCAGAATGGTTGCATTGTTTAGAGTTTGTGGTGCGAACCCAGTGATTGAACTCGGAAGTCCATTTAGCAGGATCGGTGCTTGTGTCGATGCCCTGGACGTTCTGTAAGAACGATAGAAACTGATCTTTGGTCAGGACAGATCCGCTATCCTCTGTAAGCGCAGAATATATCGATTTCATGTCATCTCGCTGCTTCAGTCTTCGAACAAAGTCTTTGAATTCACTGTAATTGAGCCTTCCACACTGTCGCGAGTCTGCAAGTCCGAATTGCTTGTGTAACATGGCTTTCGAGCAATGGATGTGCAAGCTACGCGATAGGCTTTCAATGGCTTGGAAATCAAGGCTATCTTCATCAACTTTAGGAAGATTCCCCATAGATCGCCGAGCTGTTTCACGCTCCCAATGCGCACGAACTACGTGCTCACGTTCTGAGGATCCGATCAAGCCGGTCATCAGGTCAATGCGATGTTTCGACAGAGCCTCGAGGGTGTCAATCCACAACGTGACATCTTCTTTGTGCTCAGCAATTAAGTGCATGGTCTTCTCCTGTTTAGAACGAGATTGATCGGCATAGAGGATGGTGAACCAACGTTCGCTTTCGTTGGGTAGAGCATTTAGTTCTTCGCGATAATGTCGGGTATCGTCGCCAAATCTGATATCGCGAATGTCATCCACGTAGAACTGTTTTGAAGCTTTGGAGGGACTCCAGAAAACCCTGGCGCCGTCATCAGTGAGGTAGAAGGTGAGCTTCTTCCGTCTATTCTTCGTGACCTTGGTCAATTCGCAACCCCGGATTAACTGACTTGGTAGCGTCGGAGCAGCGCCTTCTGGGTTGAAGGAGGCAGGTGTCACTGGCTCACTGGTGTAGCTGGCAGTGTCGCTGACCCCGCAGATTCCTTGAGCATCTAAAGATCTTGTTTCGTCGAACTCAGGGGAAGTCAAATCCACCGTGCTAGCACCATTTGACATGCTTGTCTTACTATCACTACGGCGTCTGGTGATAGGTCCGGTGCTCTGGTCTCTTTTGTCATGAGCAGAGGAAGAGGCTTTCCGTCGTAGTTTCTGTCCGGTAGACTGCACTCCGGTGCGAGCACTGTGAGACAGCTTCCGCATCAATCCTGGAGGCTTACTCGGCACAGGCGCATCCTTCAATGCCGTATGCTTGACTGCATAATCGTTTCCTATGGCTGACTCGGGCAGAGCCAACGGAGCGGGGGACTGGAAAAGAGATGAGTAATCCTGACCGTCCAAGATGTCAGGAGAAGATTGCAAAGAACTCATGTATGGACTTGGAGCAGAGGATGAGACGCTGCGAGCGGAGGCGGGAGTGATGGTGAAGCTCTGAGGCATTGACGTGTTGGAATTATGTAGGCGAAGCTGCCGCTTGCTCGAACGAGGAGACTTTGAGCCACTTGGGAGCTCTCCGTCAAGTACATGGAGAGCTCGTAAAGAAGGAGATGGAGAAACAGAAGAAGCCATCGTCAACGATAGATTCTACCTACCGTCAAATCGCCAGGACGTCAACGGTGGGTGGTTAGCGCGGAAGCGCAAACTAAGTCGAAAGGATATGTTCTATCGATCGCTGTACAACAGAGGGTGAAGGGAGAGTATTGTATGTCCTGAGTAGCACATCTTGAAGACAACACCCTACCAGAGGGAGTGCGAAAGGCTATCGTAGGAGGCATCTACCGACAGGGGGACATTTTTAGTTGCAGCTGGATTTAGAGATCCCGCTTAGTAGCGAAGTAGCCTAGCAGTGCTGAACGAAATCCAGTGTCTTATTGAAAGTTGACAAGCAGCGGCGATCCTGCCCTGGGATGGGTGTGTTGTCCACCAAGGCGTGGTATGCAGGTGACCCAACCGGGAGCTGGGCCGGGCGCAAGAGTGAGGTTTGGTGTGGGATGAGGTACTTTGCAGGAAGGACGTCGAAAGTGGGAAATATTGCTTTTTCGGCCTCGTGTGATTGTGACATGCAGCTGATTTACGCGCTCTACCAGAGGCGGGAAATGGCGAACGAGGATAATGAATGGACGAGCAATTGCAAGGCTGCGCAGAAAAAAGCAGTCGTGGCTCAGAGGACAGAAGTTCGTAGAGACGGTCAAGATTAGTGAAAGGAATAGGAATGGTGGCGTTGGTAAGTCGCAGCAGAAACATAGCGTAGTATTACGGTGTAAGTCGAGGATACGGCCCCTTGAAAGCCAGAAAAAAAAAAGAAAGGCTATGGGACTAAGTTAGAAGAGAACGGCCCGCTGTTGGTGTGGTCTCGTTGGCCCACACATTCCTTCGACACCCACGCAGAGAAAGAGACGAGGAAATTGTTCAATAACTGTAACGAACAGTATTTAGATTACATCCCTGCGCTTAATACATGTTAATACATGCATATATATCATCCCACCATCCAGCAATTTCCATGTCGTCAATTTATGTTGGAAGGAAGAGATCTTGCATGCTGCCTTGCTTGCATGCAGTCTATTGTGCAACATCGCAGTTTTCTGGACCCCACTTGACGTCGTGAAGGAAGATACACGCAGTGGAATGGCCTAGAATGCTCCACGCAGGCAGCCAGTAAGCGGGTAGTAAGCCTCCAGCTGAAGATCCATCACCGTGATGGGCATAGCGGATGAAGACCAAAGTGAGAGCCGCTGAAGCATGTTCTTGACCTTGGCTAGAACTGGGGCTGGTCTGACTTCTCGAGATTGTTCTTTTTGGAGTGTCCACCTCTAACCAATATCGCGATGTAGCTCTTGCATGCCAAAATTCCAAGCCCAACCTATCTCATATCCCATTGTCGGTCTCTTCGTCAACGATAGGTAGTCCATGCTCTTCGTTTGTTGCTACAAGGTGAGCGTTGTACCGGAAGTTCAGATTGTTTTTCATCATATAAGAGGCATTGTATCTCCCATCCTGCTCAGCAATCGTCTTTCTCTTTCTGACTTCGACAACTGGCTCGCCCCGCACCCATCCCGCATAAGCCTTGGGACGGCGTCGTTCATGCAAGTCGCCCAATGTGGAGCATGCGATGCAAATATTGAATTCCAGTTTATTTAGTTCCGCCCATGAGAGACTGATTCGAAGTTGCTATCAGTAGGCTGGGACCAGGCCTGATACGCTCGAGTGTGCGGTAGTAGTGAGTGGTCAAAATGATGTTGGGACTTCAGGTCTATGTTATCGCTGATTTCTGGACCAATAGATCATTCAATGGGTCAACGATTCCCTCCCAACATCCCGTCATCAGCTGGCAGTTTCCAAGACGGCTGTGCGGAAGTGTTCTTGATGCTGAGGACTTGGCCATACCCGGTATTATTGAGAAGCCTGTACTCCGTACAGTAGCTGTAAAGATGGAGCTCTGTACGGTAAGATACCGCTTGTACTGACGGGTGGACACTGGGGTAAAATGACAGATTATTGCATCATTATCAACCCCATGGTCTTGGCCTTCAGGGGCCGCACAAGACCTTCCAGCCAACGATAGAGAGAAGCATACCAAGCATTCGGCACGTTACGAATAGCTGCTCAGCATTCAGCGAAAGCGCGTTGGATATGGTCAAGTGATCCAAAGTATCAAGCATCCTTTGCCGTAGCTCCAATGGGCATCGGAAGTTTCGCTTCACTTCCACGTCGCTTTCCAGCCTGACAGAAATTACCCGATACCCTGAATTTCGAAGGTGCCAAACTTAGATGAAGATCGTACCATTGTCGCAGATCTTGCAAAAGAAGATTCCAAACTGGCCTCCGGATTGACGGCTGACTCCTGCTGATCACGTCTGACAACTTCTCAAGCCTCTCTGTCTTGACGTTCAGGGGCCGTAAGAGTGCAGATGCTAAATCCTGTCCTGCAGAATGCCCATTATCCTCAGCTGCATGTCTCTAACGGAACTAGGACAACGTTTTGACACTGATGAGAATCAGGCAAACACGTCTTCCGCATGCATATTATGCGTCGATGAAGTGTGGGCACCCGCGTGCGCTGTGAATACTGCGAATACGAATGCTCGGCCTGGGCTAGTTACCAGTAATAGTCACTCTACTACGTAGTAGATGGGGCCAACTCGGACTGTTCGGCAAAGGAATCATGAACTCCACGTGCAAGACCCAGGAACATGGATCCGAACGAACTAGTGGCGTTCTCTTCCATACATAGTAACCTAGTCGACAAAATCTCGAGGGATTGAAACGACCGAAATTCGGATTGCGGAAATGACGGGATGTCAGCTGTCTCGACCTTCTGAACACGAAAAACTGAGTGGGGTGCATACCAAGTGCGAGGGCATCGGCTCTCTTTGCATGCAGTATTTCAGGCTAACTGCGGAACAAGTATGAAAAGGGCTGTACGGAGTGTGAAAGGACACTTCCCAGAGATCACCATGATCGTCCCACGCTTTTGACGTCGTGTAACATGCCCTGATTGCCTGCGCCCCTTGGCATCAATCTGTACATGAGCACCCACTCCACAGTCTACACTTCAGTTGGAAAATCCAAGTTTTGACATAAATTTCTCTCCCGACTCCGGTTGTCATTCCGGATCTTCGAGATTATACATGTACTAATTGTGGGGTTGAGCATGCACTCAGAGGGTTTCCTGCAGACCGCTTCCCGGAAAACCCACTCAAATTTCGATCTTAACTGGGAACTTGTTCGTGCAACAACAACTCAGCAAGATCATGCCTTCTAACGTACTACTAGCTTCCCGCATCCTTCCGTTCATTGGATCCGGTGGCCTGCCAAGATGGATTTTATCTTGCATTTGCTAGACCTTAAAGGCGGTGGGGTTATGCAGTCCTTTACCAGTTTTATCGCAGAAGAACGAGCAGGGCAATGCTGCGAAATACATCAGACTTCCGACAGGAAGTATAATGCCTTGATTCGGCAAATCTCGAATCATGACTGGGTCATCTTGCCCTCCCACAGGTTCAGGATGGTGACACCGATCCGACCACCTCATACACCACGTCACCCTCACGTGCTGAACAAATGTTTGCTTCTACTGCTTTCGTTCATCCTTTATGACCAGCATCGTGATCTGGTGGCATTCAGGTATCAAGTGCTGATGGTGCGAATATCTTGCATGGTGGATGCTTGTTGCACGACTGACTACAAGGTGCTTGGACCATTCAATTTGGTCCATGCACAGCCTACAGCAAAGCCTTACCTCTTGATAGGTCATTAACCAATCGCAAGGTTTTGCTGATATCACATTATCTGTAAATACTCTGTTCTGTGACCATCAGGTCATCCTTGCATTTCGGTTTCATGTACGCCAGAGACAGATGCATCATTTTTATGAGAGCTCTGCCGCCTGTGTTACTAGGCTGACAGTTGCAGTAAAGCCACAGCGCAAGGCATCGCACTGTACCACTTTTTGGTATTTTTTCGCTATGCAGAGGTCGGAATGGCTACTGGGTTGCGGAGAGGTAGGTCGTTGTAGCTGTTATATCCCCAGCTTTATGTGTCTCCTCGCCGCTGCAATTTGCCATTGTTCTGGGAACTGGAAGCTACGTATTCAACCGGTGCTTCCGAGCACGATCCGCGCTGATTTATGTTTACCTCGCTCTGAGAGTACCTATGTCTTTACTTGACCACTACGCCTTGCTCCCTTTATTCTCCGAGCATCAAGACTTTGGTGTCCTTGGGGATAGCATCAGCAACGCATTCCTCACCGCGTCTGGCACAAAAGCGTTCGCTTCACCATTGTCGCATCTCTTAGCATTACTTTGATCCTTGATGGCATGATTGCTTAGCTCGTACTGGTTACTTCTCCATTTTGCCTAGTCCTTAGTACCTGCTCATCGGAATGGTCGTTTTCGACATAGCAGAGAAGCTTCCGCATTAGCTCTCTGGGAACCTTTCGTCGTCACTTAATATGGAGTGTACCAAGGTATCTTAACCTAAGCCTTGAGGTTGTGACTCACAACAGGGAGTCCTGATTTGGTCTTGAAAAACAAGTGTTCCTGGCCGCGCAATGTGCTTCCTCCAGCTGCCCATCCCCCCGGAATTCAAGGCTCCTTTTCCGGCTTGCAAGGTACATTGATGTGGATTCACTTTCGGCTCTTTCTTGGTTCCGTAGTGGGTGGGTAAACAGAACGACGTATAAAATTCCTTCGAAGGGACAGATCACCGCAACAAACGTTCATTTGATCTAACTTTTGCATTGACTGTGCTGTGGTAGTCACATAAAATTGCCATCCTCCGCTAATGTTAGGCCGATCCAGGGTGACAAGACCTTGAACCCAACTTGTCCAAGATAGGACCTCCGGACATTCCCCGGTGAGTGCTGTACGCCCTAATATCAGTAGGAATATTAGATCACATTGTGGCTGCTTCAAGCAGCCTTCTAGCTAATGTAGTAACACTTCCCTGTGCAGCTATAATATGACAGCTAAGAAATTAGGGTCAAATTATTATACGTAAATTGGGCACTGTAAAAGGGGGCAAGAAAATTCCTATTTTTGGGACGTAAATATTGTTATGTGCTAGTTTAGGTGTGGTTTTCAGAGAAGTAGGCGGTAACTTCGGAAGTCAAGGCCTACTCTAGCGAGGCCTGAAAAAAAGCCTACGTAGTACGTACATAGTAGTCTGTACGTACGTAGAGTAGTTGTTGTTGAATTGGCGCTAGGCGACAACATTCCACCATTGATCCATATTTTGCATATCAGTGAAGTGGTAGATTCTCTCCGCTGGTGTCTTGGGCGCTGCAACCAGAATTTGAGGCTGTTGTTTGTAGATCTCGAACATGTCTGGCGCTGCACGGTGTCCAGCCAGCCCAAGGAGTGGCCATTCGGCCCCAGGATTCGACCATTTCCAATGGAAAATCAGCTTCATCCCTGAGGTCGTTCCTGCCATCCGTTTTCGGCTTCGATTGACAGCGTAATATTCTCTCTCTGCTCCTCACTTGTTTCAGCCACTCCACATCTTCTATTTCGACATACTTATAGCATGCCGAATGCGACAACAGATGACAGCTGGAGAGCCAGCGGGCGACCCGTCTCGTAAGCTTACCCATCCATACTGAGCATGAGCGCCTGGACTCGGTGCAAACTCCCGTGAAAATGCTAACCACGAGCCCCCATATTCAGGACTATCGCACGATCCTTCTCCGCCGCCCTCGACGAAGCATTCTTCATGAAACCAGATCTAGACAATTTATCTCAATCCGTAGCTCAGAAGTATGCTGTCCCTTGGCCCCCCATACCATCGAATTTCCAGCCACGACTTCCTTCCACTACCCCTCCTCATTCCAAGCAGCATCAAAGAAACCAAGTTCTGACACCAAATATCTTGCCCGAAAACAGGCAGCAATCGGTCAGCACGCAGAAATCCGAGCTCGAAGAGCTAGAAGCACGACTCCGCGAAACCGAGGCCCGACTGAAGACGCAGCAAGCATCCGACTCTTCCTCCACCTCGCCCGCTCAGACGCGTAACAGAGACGAGCGAAAGGATAACAACATTAACAGCCCGCGCTCCCGCAACGGCGTCGACCGCGCTTTCGACCCACCAGGTCCACAACGGAATGCCAAATCCCCTCTTCCGCCCACCAGACAAGAAAACATCTCACCACAAGCACAAGCGTCCAAGAACGGAGGAAAAGACCCGCGGGCCAAGAATTTTTGAGATGAAGAGGCCAGGAGGCAATGGAGACGGGGCATGACGATAGGGACATCAATGATGCCGCCGTGGGCTCTGTGGGAAAAGGGCCGCACCAGAGCTTGATCGGTTCTGCCTTCGATTTATTTCTTGCTACGCTACAGATTCTCGTTACCGAGCGAGCAGGTGCACAAGCACCGAGCGTTCACGTAAGAGAACAAAAAGCATCATCTGGGATTGAGTCGTTTACACATATCCTTGATCGGCGAGGGAATGTCTACTTGTTTTCTTTTGGCATAGGAACAATTTTGGGACTGGATGGATTGCGCTTGACAGAGGAGAAGATATTCTCTCGCAACTGCGGCATCGGATTGGACCGTTGGATGGCACAGGTCTATCAAAGATAGCTTTTTGAGCGACGGTACTGGCTTAGTTGTATGGTGTATGCACCTCTCTCCCCTCTCTCTATGTGTGTGCCCTACTACCCCTGGCAAGCACATGCATGCGACGCTACCCTTCCCATCTAACCATGGCTCGTCCTCCCGCCCATCTGCTTTACCTCCCATGGCATCTCTTATGTGCGGAGAAGGTCGATCCAGAAACGAATACCAGATCACCGCGCCTCCGGAATTCCTCCACTTGGTGATCTATACGGCCGCTGCTGGCGTTCGGGATCTTTGCTTGGTATACAATTTAGCCCGACGCCGGAGGAAGGCTGATGAAGGCTTTGTCGCGTGGAAGAAGTGCTGTGCGCATGGCATTGCGGCGCGTGGTTCCTTGCTTAAAGATATGCCCAGGCCGCGGCTGGAGAAGTCAGCCCCATCTCGGACGGCATCAAAGCTTCGCTACCAGGAACGACTGCATGTTATTCACCCCTTCACACCAACACCCACGCCACCAGGATTGACGTCTTTCTCCGTCGTCCTGCCCAGTCCATCCTTCCCGTAGAAGTCCATTGGGTAGACGCCCTTTTCCTCCCAGCCGGACCGCCCACCCAGCACGACCAACGCTTCATACGGCGTCAGCAACGGCCTTGGAAACGCATACCCCCAATCAATGCTCAATCTCGGGCATGCGATCTGTACCCAGCAATCCACGTCTTCGAATAGTGCTAGCTTCCCGGGGAAGATCTCGCTCAGGAGCAGGTTGATGAATGGGATGCCCCTGGCGTCCAGGTGATTCTCGATCATCGTGAGGGTGTGCGGGTTCCCCTGGCGGCCCAGCGCGCCGAGGATCAGACCCCACTTCTTTGCGTTCCGCGCGGTGGCGATGGCGGTGGAGCGGAGGGAGAGCATCTCATCGTGAGAATAGGTCTCTTGTGTCAGTTTGCGGGAGTAGGGATCGTAGCGGTAGGCGGGCATGGTGGGGTTGGCTATCATGGCGGACTCGAGATGGAAGCGGCCGTCGCCTAAGTATAAGATCAGGTCGACCTGGGCGTCCGGGGCGATGGTGGGGGCGGTGCAGCCGAGGATCTCGCCTTTGCTTAGCGGCGTGATTTGCGGGATGAGGATGCTGAAGCCGGCTTGTTCGAGAGGCTGGCGCATGTTGTGCAGGGTCGCGTTGAATTGGATGGTCCCGACCATGGCTATGGTCTTGCCGGAAGGGAAGTTGCGGGTCAGGGTTGCGAGGAGGTGGGAGGTGTCGATTGAGATGTCGACGAAGATGTAAAGGGTGGCGATCTTGGTCGTGGAGACGGGGATCAAGCACGAGTGCGCGTAGTGGACTAGCAGGTCACAGCCGAGAGCGCGGGCGGTGTAGTCGTCGATACAGCAGGCGCCGTAGGTGACGTCGCCCATGATGAGGGTCTCGCATCCCGGACAGAACTGGGTGAGGATGTCGGAGATGGTGGTGGCGAAGAGAAGGAGACCTTCGGGGAATTGGAGGGCGACGCGTTTAGCATTCGAAGAGCGGATTCGATGGATTGTTTTAGGGATTTCGAACGAGTAGTTTGACGGGAGGAGATCAACAGCCTCGTTGATAGCAGGATCCTCGAGGATGTCTGGCGGAACCTGGTTCAGGAGTCTGGGTAGTCTTCTTGCAGGCGCCTTCTGCACTGCGACATTCGTGTCCTCGACAGCTCCATTCTCTTCCGCTCTTTTCCTTGCCTGTGCCTCTGCAGTCTTCCGTCCCACGAATCTCTTTTTCGGGACTCTGGCTGTGTTTGCTGTATCTGCGGCCGTGGCAGATTGGCTGATATCCGGCTCCATTCCTAGCACCCCCACCCAGCCAAAGCTTCGCTACATTCGACCCTTCGAGATAGCTCGATATGCTCTTGCTCTCGCAATTGTTGGCTCACCGAACGAGGAATCCGCACTTCGAGTACTTTTAGATATCAGACGTCGAGGGTGGACGACATCTGCTCTGAAGCTCCCCACTTTTTTGCCGTCGTTGATCCCTGCAGGAAGACCTTCCTCAAACTGTGCAAACGTGAATGTCCAATTTCTTAACACAAGAAGACATAGGCTCTAGAAGACTACAGATCTCAGATCCTACCAAGCTATACACATACACACCAAGGCCGCATCGGTTGTCTGTTATCAGCAACGAAAAACCGCGATCCCTTTCTCCGTACCCTTGTGCCATGACTGGGGGTCGCCTATGGCATCCAACCACACTTTAGCCATTCCTCCATCTACAGCACAACTCTAGTTTCAGGGCCTTTTGACGCCTTTTCTGGTGGTATTGACACTGTTTGGGACATCTATTGCACCACGAGTCACACGACTTGCTACCACTCTTTTGTCACCATTCTAACTTTACGCAACATCCCTAACTTACATACAAAAGCCCACCCCTCGGCCAACCAACTCCCCAACCCTCCCGGCGCCGGTTTTCCTTCGGTATGGTGTGCTCGCTGTCTCAGCCTCGACGATGTTCGTTAGCATGATCATGGGGTTCCTTCCGTTTATAAGGACGAGATCGCCTCTATCCTTCATATTCACTCCCCAAGTTCGCAGATTCTGCTTAGGGGGGTGCCTGGGGGTCTCTCTTAGGCTAAAATAAATAAAATAAATAAATTAAATTAAATTAGTTAAATTTTCTTTTCTTTTCTTTTTTATAAGTTTTCAATCTGAAAACGTTATTCCTAGTCTCTTTCCTAATAGAGAAGTCATCAGAATATCAATAAATAGTGTAATTCTCTTTGTGAAATTTTCATGTTATTGAAATGGTTATGATCGGCAAATCTACCAGTAATTTCTATGACTTAAAACCCGCCGAGATCCAAACGCCGAAAGGACTTTTGCCGAATGGACCGCCGCGAATAGACCGCTCCGCACACATTCCGGTATCTCTACATGTCTCTCGTGACTCCCTCCGAAGCATCCACATGGCATTTCGTTCGAACATTACTGGACAAAGCTAAAGCACGCAACATGTGTAAAATCTAAGTTCACGTGGACACTGAAGAGCACAGGTTGGTTTCTGAAGACTTCAAACGAGGATGATTTCTTGTAGCCTTTCATCGTTTCGATCCCCGCTATGCCATTCCAAGTTGCCCTCCGTTCCTGCGACTTCAGCGCTACCAACCAGTTGATAATAGCTTGATGATTCTCGCATGATGAGTGGCTTGGAGATGCCATATACATGTCCGAGCTTATCTCCCGGGTTGGCAAATCTAGTACAAGTTCCTATTACGCCGTCCGATGCAACGAAGTACACCCGATTCGTTTGTGCAAGGTCATTGCACATGGCCGCGTACGTCTGTGCGTGTAGAGGACTGGTCTGAATATAAGCAAGATAATCTTCAACATTATCTTGCAAATTATCAGATCTGTAGCCGCTTCGGCATATTTGATAGTACCAGAACTCCTTGAAATCGTGCAGTTCATTGGCGATAGGAAGGTAGTTACGGGTAAGAAGGTCTTGAACATTCGTAGAGTGACTCCATAGTCCCTCATGGATACCAAGGGCTCGTAATGTTAAGAGGAATTAGAAAAAAGTGCGAGCGTTATTGAAAAGCTTTGATCTGTCGACATCGTCCTCGGACAATAAGTCATTGACTTCCTGAAAGGGGGGACATCGCCACAGGATGTCTCCTTTCCAGAGGCCATGAACTACTAGTTCCTGGGAGTTTCGTAAATTCCAGGCTTCGCAGCTAGTTCTGTACTGCAGATCGGGCGTCGTCCAAGTGTTTCCATGGAATGTACTCCAATCAGGGACCCATGACGGCGCGTTTGTAACTCCCGGTAACCCTGCCCATAAGAGCAGATCCAGCGATTGGATCCATCTCAGAAGATCGACAAAGAGTTCCTGGTATATTTCACTCAATGATTTCTCGTAATCCGGCTGGGCGAACTGTATATCAAGGGCTTGAAGGATTCCGCAGAGAGCATAAGACTTGTCTTTAGGATCGGTAGACCTTCGTGTCCGTATGGCTTGTATAATAGGCCTCCAGGAGTCTCCTTCCGGGAACGGTTTTTGCTTAGACAAGGAACGGATTCCCAAGGCAGCTGTAGAAAAGAACAAGAGACCTAGAACATATCCAACTACGAGGGTTATCCAGCGAAGCAAGCCTGAAAGCCCAATTAGCTTCACCCAAAGCGGATTAAGCATGCATGTCATGTGCAGAATCAAGCAGCTGACGGTGTGGATCCACCCAATCCTTGAATAATACGACTGTATTGATTCGAAGAAAGCGGCTGAGGTGGTCTGCAGGGAAAGAGCATCCTCTCTAGAAAAGACGGCATTCGATATGATCCTCCGGTTCGATTGGGCAGGCGGGCGCAGCTGAATCCATAATATACAGAGCCCAGCCCAGGTGAAGTAGGATGTACTTGAGAGAGGGACATTGCTATATCTCCTTGAATGTTCGAGAAAGAACATTGCGTAAAGAAACGTAGGCCAAGGGACAAATTTTGTTCCACAGCAAATGATGGGATTAGAAGCCAAGAGGAATTCTTGAAGAGTCCAAATACGTCTGATCCAGCCCCTCTCAAAAACTTCTCGGAGACAATCAATGGACAGCTCTTGATCAAGAACAGTGTCGTCGAAGCCGTTTTTCATTAATCGCTTCAGAGTGTCCCAAAGGGCTGAAGTGGAAAGCTTTGTCAGAAATGTTTACAATAGACTCAATAGGAAAGCGTACTCTTGACCGTCCTGAATCTCTTCAGGTAAATTCTCCAAGCGGCTTCCCGGCAACATCTCTTAGGCGATGTAGACCCGCTACGACTGCTCATTCGGTACCTGTCCAGTAGTTTTGGAAATCCTGTTGAGTTTAGATAGTCCATGCTAAGATCTGATTGCTTGTTCCCGTCTCCCAACCAGATGTATACTGAGGAGGCAGTTGAGTAGATTTCATACATCAGGGGAACTTGGATGGATTTCTCTTTCGCATCTAGTTGGTTGATACAAATCGAATCAATCCAGATGGATAAGGGGCCAAAAAGCTTCCGAAGCTGCCAAAGTGCTGACCAACAATTCGTGGTAACTTCGAGAGTAAAAGATCCACATAAAAGGATATCCCGAGGAGTTGCATAGCTGCCCCAGACATAGGACAGGGCAACAAATGCAGGATTCTCTACAAGGCTGACAACTCTCAGACGTCCCCGGAGATTCTGAGGTTCAATTCCCCCGGGATGTGTTCCTTCAAGGTCGAACACTCGGATGGAGCCAGAATCAAGCGGTAGTGCAGCGTATAGCTCCTTTGGAGAATGAAATGTGTCGAATGCGTTGTAAGAGCCTGTTTCAGGGCTTCTGGGGGTCTCAAGAACCTCTGTCAGGCCGACATCGTCTGGCAAAGAGACAGATGAGCTGGTTGTAGACGACTCAAGAAGTCCCTCCAGCTCGATCGCATTTGTCTCAAAGGTCATCATCATTAACAGTGGAAGTCAATTTAATGTTCATTATTACACTGTTATGGGATGTTATGCTAAGTTTTCGGGACTGCCCTAATGGGAATGTAAAAACTTGATTTTGAGAACTAGTCCTGTTTGGGTCATTTTGCTGACGTCTATACCTAATTCTACATAGTATGTTTTGTACTGATACTAATGTTTTCACCAAGGGGGGGTACAAAAATTCGGCCTGATACCGTAGTAGTGACTGGTTCGTGTTGGGCCGCCGTCCTTTTGGTCCAACAGCCTCGCAAGAAGTTCGACTTAATCAATCTTCGGCAAGATCCGTGGCTTTTGTAGGAGTTGATTGAAGCTATTGCTAAGCAATCTGTTGATCCGATCCTTACCCATGTTCTACAATTTCCATGCAAGAGGAATATACTTCCAAGGAGCCCCCGGCAAACCGGAGGGGACCTCAGTCTACTTCTCTCAAAGGCAGGGTTCGCTGATACAGAGCCGTGGCTATGTTGCAAACAACGCGTGTATTCAATGCCAGGCTAACCGAGGAGGACCGTTCACGCAATGCGTTCTCCTTGACAAGTTCATTGGCGGCGGTTGCGCAACCTGCTTTTTATCCCGAAACAGGAACGGTAAACCCACTGGTTGCAGTCTTGCGACCAAAGCTAAGAGCATTTGAACTTCCGTACAAATATGTTTTAGTCTTTCTTAGATAGGACTGGAGAAGCGAAAGGATGGAAGAAAGATACGAGACAAGATGACTCTGGCAATCCTAAATACAAAACCTCCACTATCGTTCAAAACACAGCGGGTGAAACATATAAAGGTAAGCTTCACTCTAATATCTCCCCAGATCCGATTGCCCCTACATACAATCACGTGCCTGGCACAGCTTCAAGCAGCCTCCATTTTATTGGATCTTTGGAGTTACCACATCCAGAACATTGTGGTTTCGACAAGCCTTGTGTTGAGCAGATTCTTGCTCTACTCCCCCATCTACAGAAGATAGACGATCGAGACCTTCGAGGTATTTCGACCTTGAATCCCTGTTGAGGACGGAATCTAACAGATTCTTGATAAAAGCGTTAGCCAACAGGATCAATTTGCGCTCAGAATTTGAGATATTCATAGGGAAAGAAGCTCAGGCCAGATCTCAAAAATACAAAATGTTCACGACCAAGTCCGCTTGCGCTTTTCCAAACGAGAATGACTATCCTGCGCGCTTCCCCGTCGCCGCCATCTTGCCGCAGACTCAAGACGTGTATGAGCCATCGCCTGATATATGGTCTCCTGCCAACTAGAGCCGCTGGCGAAGCTGGCGTAGAAAGCCATCCAAATCATTAGAGCAGATTGTGGTGCCGGGGGTGATGGCCCAGCACCAAGCACAAGTCGTGGACCTTAGTGCATGTCAGAGCAAGGATCCTAAGTTTAATATCTTTGAGGTACTTTCTCTTCATGCAGCCATAGTACAATCTTTGGCTGACCATTTCAAGCAGTTCCTGATCGTCCTAGATAATAAAAAGTACAAATCATCAGGGTTCAAATTCTGCGACAAGTCCTTCACGCCTTAAATAGTCCGAACTAGACCCAGTCACTTCAAAACCTTCCTCAAGATGTTTGTATCCGCATCAAGCAATCACTGCCTTTGAATACCCGTCAAGATGATGGATTGTTGACGTTGCTTTCCGCCATGGAAGCTATCCTTCGTCGATATGATGACATGAAATCTGTCCTTGCACTTCCGTCTGGCGCACAAAAGCAGGCTCTTGAGTCCGAAGAGAAGCATGCGTCACCAAAGGCCAAGTCAAGTCCCGATCATGAACTCGGTAGCTCTCCAGAAAGAAGCAGACCGCGGACGAGAAGAGGAGACGCGCCACACCCAGGTCAGACCCTCACTGCAGGACAGGAAGTTTCTTCTGATAGCTCCCGAGCCGATTCGAGACATAAGACCACTGCTTCTCCACAAGAGCAACGAGCGATTTCAAATTCGAAAAGAGAATCGCCTCACCCAATCAGTGCGGCTCCGGGCATCCCAGCAAGCCGGATGCACTCTCCGCACATGGACCAAGCAAAAGCAGCCGTTGCTGACAGAACTCCCTCTCCGGCCTCTCGTACTGCGCTTGCGAGATTGAGAGAAACCGTCCCTCCTAGGAGCTCGATGGTAAGTCCAGAACGTCGATATTATTGCTGCTGTGATGGGCGTTCATGTAGGGGTGCTGGGTGAATTGCCAGGGTGTCCGGCGAAGGGCCGGTTAGATAGACGCCGAAATAAGCAACATTCTCTCTCTCTCGATAAGAAATAATTTTGACGAACAGGCGACTCTAGTAGCGCATGACGATTCTCGGGGGGAAGAGAAGGATTACCTAGTTAGCGAGCGGCGGCTCGAGAGCAGGGAGCAGCTGGGTGAGTGATGGGAGGTAAATACTGTTGAGTTCAGCTCCCTAGAAGGGAGAGATGTCTTGCCACGTCGCCGCTTGGAGCAATGGAAAGCCAGATGTCGCTGCGACTCGTGGCTTTAGTTAGTATTGAACATGCTGTATCTCTCGACGGCACTTAAGGAGTATAGAGTCAGCTGTGAAGCGAATCCAATGTGTCCCCGGTATGACACTGAGCCAGTCCTCTATCCAGCCATGCACCAACGCCTCGCTTATCCAGATCGAAGACACCCCATCCTCCCAGCACACACATATTCATAATCAGCCCCGTGAGAGCCTCAAAGCTCATTTCTAGGCTGGTAATACTGCGCGTGATCGCCTTGTTGGCTCTGCCCGGGGCTTTGGCCGGGAAAGATGCCCCTCCTCTTCCTCCACTCCCACACCCCCTTATCCACCTCCTCCCTGGTGACCCCATCGCGCACCAACCAAAAAGTCACCCCCAACTCCACCTCCACATTCCGATTCCTCGCCTCGTCGTCAAAGAACAACATATCCGCAAACGCGACCTCATCGCCCGCCTTCTGGCTCCCTTCCTGTATCTTCTCAAAATGCGCCGTCTTGGAGCCGGGGAAGATCTGCAGGTGGGCAAAATACTCCAGCGCCTTTAGCGGCTTCGCCTGTTTGTTGCTGCTCTTCTTCTTCTTCTTCTCGTCCGGGTTGTTGTTGTTGTTGTTGTAGTCGTCCTCGGCCTCCACAGCGTTGAAAGGCGGCGTCACCACCAGCAGTTTCAGCAAGTCCCTGGCCAGCTCGGGCGCGTGGGTGCGACTGGCCACGCCCATGGCAATGCCGCGCTCGCGCGTGGCGTGCAGGATGGTCGGTACGCCCGGGTAGAAGGCGAAGGACTCGGCCCATCGGTCTTGGACGCGCGTGCTCGAGTCCTTGGCTTTGACCGGCGGCGTCACGTGCGTGTCGACCCAGAAGGGCCAGAGGGTGTAGTCGAGGTCGAAGACGATGAGGCGGGGCAGCGGCAGCGAGTCGAAGAATGTGGCTGGGCCGCTGGGCGAGGAGCTGCTGCTGCTGCTGCTGCTGATGAGTGTGGTGGAGGTTTGGGGGCCCGGGGAGGGGAGAGTTGGGACGGCCGCGAACGAGGTGCCCAGGATGCGCTTGGGCATGGTGGCGGGAGAAGGGGAAGCGTACGTAGTACGAGGGTGAGTGGGATTGGGAGGACGGACAGGTAGAGGACGTAGATCCTGGGGGGTACTATGGTCAAGTTAGAGGAATCGCGTACTGTGGTAGATGCAGGTATGGGGTATGGGGTGTGGCCCTTGTGTAAAAAGCAATCAAGTGGCAAACATACAAGCCCTACATCCAGTGTCAGTGGGAAGGAAAACGGGAGACTGGACTTGACAAGATACGTCACAGGTCCGAGATTCAGCCGATAGAGGGAATCGATAACTTACGGAGTAGACTGATGACATTCACTCTTCTACCATGAAACACCCTTCTGTCTGCACCACAACCATAGAGCCGACATGGCGACCACTTACACCTCTCTGTCTGCTAACCGAAAGAACAGACTCGAGTCGCAAGCAGAGCTGGGCCGGCTACCAGAATGAGTGTATCATTCAAGGTAAGCCCGATACCGGTACTTGAGGTAACAGGCCCGTACAGGTAAACACAGTACCTGAAAAAGGAAATTCAATAGATGATCTACACGATCGTACACGAAAAGGGGGGATTTCCTCATCTCGACAGCTGATGAAACTACAATCAAAGAGAAAGAAACGTCCTCTTCATGACCGAACCGGGTTGGAAATGTCCCTCTTTTTCTATCACCTGTACCTGTACACAAATTTACGGGATAATAGCCATGTCGTCCAGTCCGGTCCTGTCCAGTACTGTCATGGAAGCTTGCCTGTAACAAGAAACCGTTGAGCCATTGTGCTTACGGAGCGATAAAGGAAATCAGAAGATGCACTATCCACACATCATGCATGGCCTGTGTAGGGGGTATCATCATTTGTTCATGTCCTACCTATCGTACAGCTCTCTTGTCTAGCGCTTCAACATCAAGCACGATGGTCCTCAGGTCATCCGCCGACCACCGCTGCTAGGCATGGCAATTTCCACCAAACCCTCGCCTTCTTCTTCTTCGTCGTCCTCTTCGTCGTCTTCATTCCCACCCCGCTCCCGCTCCCGCTCCCCGCTCCTCCTACCCCCCACATCAGCAGGTCTTGACCCACCCACGGATCCCGTACTCCCAAAACTTCCTCTCAACTTTTCCTTCTCCACCGGACTCAGCACCTCCCCTGCAGCCTGATCATCACTGCTATTTGATTGCTCTTCTTCTTCCTCTTCTTCCTCCTCTTCCTCCGCATCCTCATCCGCATCTTCCGACGGTGCAACCATCTCGCCCATCTCCTCGTCTTCGTCCTCATCGGTCTCTAACGGGATCCTCTCTTGGCTCGGCGCTGCTTCTGCCGGATAGTGCTGTTCTCCACTTGACGAACCCGAAGATCCGTCCTCGTCATCCTCGTCATCCTCATCATCTTCTGCTGGAGAGGGTAGCCTTCTCATCTCTTCGTCCTCGTCTCCGCCAGCACCTCCTTTATTTCTCGAGGTCGATGAGAACAGTGAAGTTAGACCCCGACCGACAGAGAACCCTTGGCGGGCTTCTGATGGAGCTTGGCGCTTCTTGTCCCTCCGTCCACTCGAGGTGATATCCTCCTCCTCTTCATCGAGGGTGAATGGATCACTGGCGTCTCCTTCATCTCGGTCGCCAAGACTTGCAAAGGGGTCATCGGAGTTGCGTGCTGCTGCTTCTTCCGCTGCCGCTGTGGCTGTGGCTTCTTCGGCTTTTTGTTTATGGAGGGCGAGACGGGCAGCAAGTTGACGGCGAGCTCTTGAAGGGGGAATGTTAAGAGGTGCTGGCGGCGGTGGAATTAAGGGTATGGGTGCATCGCTCTGTAGGAAGAAAATGGTCAGCAGCATGATCGAGCGCAAGGTGAAGATGTGAACAGGGCCGGTGCAGAGGGTCCTGGGTGGTTGGCTAAATATGTAGGAGCAATCAGCTCGGCCATTCCGCACCAGAGTGAATGATCAGCCGATCAACCAGGTTATGGAAGCTGCCGGCTCACTCTCATGGTTCAAAGCGCTGTGTGCAGACGAGATAGCATGCAGCCGCACTTTGCACAACATGAAAGGACCCACCAAGCTCTTGCACACACCGCATCCCGCTGTGTCATCACCCGCTCATAACAACATCTTCAAGTTCAAAAGCATTATCACCCACATTATTCTCGGTCACGCCAGTATCAGCAGTCGACAAAGCTGTTGCAGCAGCAGCCGCAGCAGCCGCTCGTGACGAATCATCTTCCTCCGCTTCATCCATCTCCTCATCTTCATCGTCACTTGAGCTACCAAAGCCGCTCAGCAAGGAGCCACTCGTTGTTGATCCGAATGCAGCGCTGGAGGCACTGCCGTTATTTGATAGCTCGATGCTGTCAAGGCCTTGCTGGCCGCCGATACCTCCGTTGAGACCGGCATTGGCCAATGCTGCCGAGTTTCCGAATCCCTGAGATGCATTCACAGCGTTGAGAACCGCCTGCCTGGGGCCAACCGACATGTCTGGTCGGACACCCCCAAGAATGGCATTGTCTCGTTCTCTGGTCTCGGACAACGTTTGCTCGACATAGTCGATCCATTCTTTATCCAAAACCTTGTCCATAACGGTTTGGGACAATAATTCCGCTGGATGTCGTTCACTAAACTTTACCACCTCTTCGGCAACCAGCGTGAGGTGCCCCATGTAGCCTAGTCTCATGTTTTTCTTTTGCTGCGCTTCATCGCTTCTTCTCTGGCCTTCTATGATCTGCTCTGTGATCGACTCAGACTCGAAAAGGTTGATGGCGACAGATCTGTTGTAGCCTCTCTCCATCGGCCCATTGAAGACCTGTTGCACCACATCGTACACTACGTTGTGAAGAAAGTTATTCCATGGAAACCGAAAGAAGAAGCTCTGCAGACTGGTCAGCTTGGCAACTCATGGTAGAGAACAAATACAGACCAATATTGTTGGAACCACCCTATTTTCCACAAACATGATCTTCAGGTAGTCGCCCACGACGGGTGTGCCATCTATGTCCGTCTCAATGGTCGAGTCGATGGTAGATGTGTTTGGTTCCACGTTGACAGAGGTATCACCTTCTGGCTGGACTTCGGACGTTTCAGCCATGTCGTTTCGAGATGTTGTGGGACTGGCTGCGGGTTCGGGACTTTGTGCTGTGGGTGTTTTATTGCCATCAGGAGACTTTGAAAACAATGGCGCGGGAGTGTCTTCGGGGTGTGGTGATGGTCCTGACAGATTTGAACTGTCTGCTTTCAGATTTGGGGCGTCTGGCTGCACCGCAGTGGAATCCTCCGTTTCATTTGGAGGAGATGCCATGGTTGTATCCTCGAGGCTCACCCGCCGGACTCCCTCTTCCAGATTTGCAGTGGTAGGCGATAGTGGACCAGAACTCGGCATCCCCAGAGGAGACGAGATTTCAGCTTCATCATCCATCTTATCGACAATGGTCCTGACCTTCGGTGATAGTGGCTCATCCACAAGATCATCTCCAAGCTCTAGCTTCGATCTATCTTGAATCTCTGTAAAAGCATCCTCAGATGTGGTCGAGTCATCCCCTGTCATAGACTCTTCGCTCTTTTCAGGAGCCGCAACAGTTTCGAAACCGTCTTCTTCGCTGCTGTTGGCAATGCGCAACTCTTCACTAGACGCTTCGACGTTACCATTAGCATATCCACTGGACTCCCCTGATATATCGACTGCGGAATCTTCTTCCTCTTTGTGCGGCGCAAAGGCTCCGGCGGCTCGAAGTCGATCTCGCTCTGCATCACGTTGACGGATGAATTCCTCACCACCTCGCTCGTTGAGTAGGCCCATGTTGCTGCAGTGGAGGAGCTCGGCCATCAACTCGCAGGTTTTAAATCTATCAAAACCTAGTGGCTCAATTTCAGTGCCCCAGGCGGAGCTCAGTTTACCTCTTTCAGTTACCCTAGTCGTTTCACCATCTGTAACTGTATGCTTCGAGCTGAGAATCAACTCCATGAAATCGGGCACGTGCTTCGCAAACATCCGCAGCAACGTTCCAAGATAGATAGGATCATGGTTTGTTGGGGGCGCATCCGGATTGTGGCCATTCTCGGGGTCATAATCTGAGTTATTCTTGCGAATGACTTCAATGACAATTCCGACGCCAACCGTCAACGGATTACCACCATGTAGCATCGAAGTTATGAGAGTTTGCATGCAGGATTCCGAGACAAGCTGTCTTGTGAGACTGTTTGGTCCAATGCAAGATTGCTCATTCTGAGATGCATTCGCAGAAATAGTGATGATGGCTTTCAGAAAGTCGCCAGCTGACGTCTGCGTTGACGATGGAGAGTCAGGCGAAAGATAGGAGAGAAGGGTCGGAATAAGATCTTGCGATTGAAGCCACTATGGTCGAGTCAGTGAACTACCATGGAAGATTGGGGCGGGCTCCACTTACATCTACAATGCCCTGCCCGCCTTCAGCTTTTTCAAGGCTTATGATCTTGAGCAACAGATCCATGACCATTGGACAATCAACATGTTGCAGCATCGCTGGGACAGTCCCCGGAGAAGATTTGAAGAAATCCAACATTTCCTCCGTTTTCTTCTCTAAAAGCGCTTCATTGACTTTGGTGAAGTACCCCGCTTGAAGGGGATCCAGAGGTGGAGAGCTTCTCAGAAAGTCCCAGAACTCCTGAAGGTGTGCAGTATTGGTCATCAAAGCTTCCAGTATGGACCATGTCTCCGAGGAAAGTACTTCGCAAGCGACGTATGCGTATTTAAGCCTGAGTTTCTCCGTCTTCTCTTGTTCTTCATCGCTTTTCTCTGTATCTGGTGAGGTTTTGACAGTCAGGTCTTTCCCTTTCCCCTTTTCCTTCGAAGCAGCCTCATCGTCTTCTCCGTCACCATTCTTCACGTCTGGACCCGGCGCAACAACATATTTCAACAATCTCTGTAGAGTATTTTCATCCCGCAAGAACTCTATCAGCTTGGTGTTGTGCTGTTTCAGCTCTTGGATTAGATCCGACTCGTCTAGCAGCTCTTCAAGCGTGACATCTGATTTGTCAAGGAGGGTATCTATGGTTGAGATGTTGGCATAGCCGCCAAAACGCCAGAACATGTTGTCTTGCTATGCGCACGCGGATGAGTTCTGTCTGTTCATAAAGGGTATTTTATTGCCGTCTATGCACTGTTCAAGGCTAGAGTGTTGTTGTACACCGTTCCCGCATTAAATCAGATCCGTAGCTGCAGCTCGAGAATTCGTCAATCGCTGTGCCGATCTTGTTGCACAAGTAAATCAATGTGTTATGCAGTCCAGCGCTAGAAGGGAAAGTCCGTCAGCATTCAATCGAGGTCGAGGCTTGTTATGAGCTGTTCCGGACATATCCGCATTTATCAAGATTCCTTCACAGCTCGTCTATGGAGAGGGAGAAAAGAGTGATCATACCTCACACTCTAAGAGAATGAATGGAAGAGAAGAGAACCTGGTGATTATGTGAACGTGTTTCCGACCGTTACGACATTGCAGGAATTAGGCCAGTTCAAATGTTGCGCAGTTAAGAGAGGCTTTCGAAGTCCCGGGACGTTGGACACCGGACGCCGGGGATCAGCATATAAGCTTCACTTCCCCAAAACAACCCACAGCAGCAGTACAATGACCTGAAGTTTGACCACTATTTGTTGTGCTACGTACGTTAGATGCGGACGATGTTTAATCGAAACGGCACAGGCACAGACACACGTGGTATTAGTTGTCAGGGGCTGAAACTCTACCGCACACAATCTAAGCTCGCATCTGTCTGTACGCTCATCTTAGATACCCTCCCTCATTCGATTGGTCACAACGCCCCCCCCTTTTTCTCCGGAGAGAGCCGCAAGGTGACCAACAGTCAGCCCTAAGTTAGTGCTTTCGCTCCAGACGCCACTGCTGTGGAGCTTAGAGCTCGAACATAACAAGCAGGCAGAACTTTTGTGTATGGTTCAGCCAAATTCATGCGTACGGATAGGTTCCTGCCTGGCAGTCAAGGAAAGCCGATACGTTCCCTGATTCCTCTCCATCTCCCCTCTCAGTCCAGGGACATCGACAAGAATAACAACCACCATCATGAACCGCCTCTTCGGAGCCAAATCCTCCGCGCCAAAACCCACCCTCAACAGCGCCATCTCTAATGTCGATACTCGCGTCGAAACGATCGACGTGAAGCTTGCGAAACTCAACGCCGAACTCAGCACCTACCAGGCCAAACTGGCCAAAATGCGCGACGGCCCCGGCAAATCTGCAATCAAATCCAAAGCCCTAAAAGTCCTGCAGCGGCGCAAGATGTACGAGTCGCAGCGTGACCAGCTGCAGCAACAGTCCTGGAATATGGAGCAAGCGGGCATGATGCAAGACAATCTCAAGAATGTGATGACGACGGTGGATGCGATGAAGACGACGAACAAGGCGCTGAAGCAGCAGTATGGAAAGGTGGATATTGATAAGATTGAGAGGATGCAGGATGAGATGCAGGACTTGATGGAGATAGGAAATGAGATTAACGAGAGCATCAGCCGGTCCTACGATGTGCCGGATGATGTGGATGAGGCAGAGCTGGATGCCGAATTGGAGGCTCTGGGAGAGGATATGATGTTCGAGCAGGAGAGCGGTATGGGAGAAGGCCTACCAGGCTTCTTGCAAGACGAAGTAGCTCCGCCAACGTTTGTTGATGAGCCCCCAGAGCAGGGGAAGATGAAGGAGGTAGCCGGTGGTGTGGGATAACAGACGCATATCACAAACATACAATATGGGCGTACATGATTCAGCATTTGATGGGGCTTAGGCGCTTAAATCCTTTGGCACATGGACGGAGGGCCTCTCGACCAAAGCTTCACTTCCAACAGCATGGTCCCTACTTGGGAGGGATCTGAACAATCGGAATAACACCCAGATGACTGCATTCTATAGCATGGGCTTAGGCCATCGGACCCCGACCCCTCTTCTCATACAGATATTCCACATCTTTCCGGCCGGCAAACATATGTACACCGCTAGTCCATCAGGCGCAAGAGATTCCTGGACTTCTAGAATTGTGGGAATTTAAAGCTTGGCTTTTGGTGCCTCCAAGCTCGGCATCAACATGTCTCTGATATCGCCAGCAGCTTCGTTGAGATAGAAGCTCATCCTTTCAGCGCCGAGATGCTTGCAGACGATATTAAATTGGATGCTGCGTTTCAATCAGCCTATGCATTCAATTGTTGATCAACAAGGATGTGCTCACCTGTTCTCATTTATCATATATGCAATACCCCAACCCTGGTCAATGACTTGACTCCAGCCATAACCGTTGAAGAATTCACTGCTGAGTTGACTACTACTGATGTACCACGTACTGCTGTATGTGTACGCTGGATCTGTGAATAGCTCTGGGGTTTCCTCTCCTTCCCCGATCAGCTTCTTCAATCCGAAGAGGTGTCTGTCTACACCACGCCCGTCGCTCGCATGAGCAATATATCTGATATGCGCGTTCACCGCAGCTCTGAAAAGCTTTTCGCATTCGGCGCGCCCAACTTCAGGGTCTGCCATCGCATTGCAGAATGCAACGGACTCATCTGAGACTGTCCGGCACGTTTCAGTCCGACCCTGTTGAAACTTGCGGGTCGCTGCAGTTTCGTAAGTCGGCCGATTCTTGCCATACATCTTATGATACGCCAGCTGAATAATCATCTGGACATACGCATCAGGGCTGCATTTGAACTTCTTGATCAGGCCTTTGCCATATCCTTGATAAGCCTGAACTCTTAGCTCATGTTGTGCAATCACCTCTTGAAAAAGCTTGTGTGCATTTGCAATGTCATCTTGAACCTGCGAACTAATCTCAAAACGAAGAGCTGATGGTTCAGCGAGATTAGATCGGACGGAAGGGTTTCCAAAGTCAAGCCTTTCGCTGAAGATGAGAGCATTGATGGTATCGCAAAGTCTGTGAGTTGGTGTCCCATCCATCATGGAATGTTCGCCAGTAAACCCGGCGGTGCCATTATCATTGATGATAAACTCGCAAGGCTTGTCAAACCATCGGTTTGTACCATCTCCATGCCAGTAAGCATGAGCCCGCTCCTCCAGTGTTATGGGAGCAGCGTCATCCAGGCAAACAATAAAGCTCGATGACTCTATTGCCTCAAGAGCGGCAGCATTTGCTGGGGAGGCGTTAAGGAGATTCACCCTTGCGGATGCCCCAGCATCTCGGGGGAGGGAAGTGAGGGCACCAATTGCGGGCGATCTTGCCGCCTTCTTGTAGATATTGCTAAACTGGAGTTCGAGCTCAGAGGTGGTCAGCTGTTGTCCATCAACATGTGTAGGCACTTTAAAGAACTGATTCTTTCGAATAACAACAATGTGTTGGTTATTTTTCCAGTCAAATTTGACTGGATAGTCCGCTTTCTCAGCAGCCACCCGTGAGCAGTTGAACATATACTGATAGCTGGACATGGACATTGGTTGCTTCCGCATATACTCGGGCTCTAAGCTGCCTTCTTCCACCTGGCGTTGAAATTCCAATGCGGCAGTGGTGATGGCAGCAGCTCTCTTTGCTGGGTTTCTCCGCCTCCTATCATCCCGGAAGGAATAGAAGTACGAGACATAGGGGACAATGGGGTCTCTGTAAGCAAGATATGCGGCTTCGTTCCACCACTCATATAACCAGTTCTTGTGCTTTGGATCGTCTCGGCGCGCCACTAATCGTTTTTGCAGTGTTTGGGCATGCGAGTTCGGCTCCAGGAATTTTTTGACAGCGGCCTCAGTCCTCAAATATTCGTCTGACTGTAGGAGAGGATGTACGGATTTCAAATAGCGTTCTGCAGTCTCTTCGAGGGTGGGCACTGGTAAACGTGGTAGAGAGTCCTCGAACCGGAGCATTATGCCCTTAGATTTGTCCTCCCGGTACCCTGTCATGCCATATAGGTGAGCGCTCGTAGCCAGAAAACATGACACGAAGACAATGTCAGACCTTCTGGGATTGTAGACTGTTTTCTTTTCGCTGCTGGAGCCATGATGATCGGCTGCTCAAAGTCAGTTGGGAATCACAGCAACGTTGCAGTGAGATAATCACTTTATATCTCGTCGCTGGTGTTGCTGCACGCGCAAGCAATGAGACGGCCAGGCGACTTCTGCCAACTGCAGAGAACATGCCTGTTGTCACAAGAAAAAATTGAGGTAGCAGTGGGACATGTGAATGCTCAGTCCCGTGATTGTAAGGAACTGGAGAAGTATATGGACCTGACGCGGGACCGGGAGGACCCTGGAATTGACCTCGGCTTATGGGAGTTTCAATGTTGCACCACAAGAAATTCCGTCAGTGACAGGGGAGGGAAACAATGGGCAAAAGGAAAATAAGGCTGGGAAATGCGGAGGGCAGGGGTAAAGCTGTTGTACCATAATGCCGAACAACCTCCGTGCCGAGGCTCATCCTCTATCGCATGATTTGAACTGAAAGACGAAAAGGAGGCCCCCTCGAGTACATATCTCATACAAAACCGGTAACTTACACCAGACTGGAAGATTATGTCATAAGAGATAACATTGAACGGAGATGCACTTCTTAGGCTTGTGCATATCTACTCCATATGTTCGCATCTCCCGCTTTGCCATGCTTGGTTGATATTCCATCTCCTTCCTGCCAAGTCCCGAAGGAGTTCAGTGTCATCAGATGTCGCATAGTAGGTCTGCCATGTGGACAGTTCCACGGCTTGTCAATCTCACCCATGTGAGAGACGACTGTCCTCATCTTTGTCTCCGACAGTGGTCTGCCAATCATGATACTGGATCGACATGCTCGCATGGCAAACATCTTTCGGACTTTGCTGGGTCGAGGAACTATTGATGTTTGCGTGAGTCCTGGGGACTCTGTAAGAAGATGTAGCAGTTCCTCCAGATCCTCAAGTCCAAATGTCACCTCCTTGCTTAAAGGAAGGCTGACTAGTTTACATCTTTGCCCGATGGGCTCGTTCTCGGTGGTATCGATGCTAACAAGAAATCCGTTCTTCTGCAATGCCAACGAGTTTTCAATCAAGATCTCTTCTTCCACGGCAGTCAGGTCAAGCTGCTTGGGGCGAACGAGCCTCTGATTGCCCACCACCGTCTCCTGCTGCAATCTTTCAAAGTTATACTTTTCGTCTGAGGCGTGTTGATCCACGATGAACAGCTCGTCGGCCTTTCGAGGTTTAGATTCACTCTCATCGGCGTCCGCTGGAGTTCTCACAGCGAGAATGAAGCCTAAGTTGAACTGACCGACAATATGCATGTTCGAAAAATCAGTTTTCGAGACGGTAAGAGCCAGACGGTCCTCTTCGTTCCCTCCATCATCGGCAGTATCTTCGCTCTCCAGCATGATCCCATTTCCTGCGATGTCTTTGACAGTCAGCTCCCAGCGCTTTGTCAACTCCTGGGCTTGCCTGACAGTCGTTGCAGTTCTGACTTGAAGCTCTGTCGTCGAGTCCTTGCGGAATCTGCTCTTCAGAGCTTTATTTCCTCCCCTGAAATTGTTCATATTGAGCGATGCCGCTTTCTCCTCGGCCGCACGTATAAGCTCCGCTACTGTGGCGTCATCTTGCGCCCTCTTGTCTGTTTCATCTATATATTCTCCATTTGTGTCACTCTGCGGAGATACGACTGATTCCTCCTCACTAATACGAGCATTGTCTTCGCTTTCGACATCGTCATCAACTTCAATTTCGCTATCATCATCGTCTTCTGCAGAAACGCTCACAGAATTCTCTTCTAAATGTGACTCATTATCGATATTCGATGTCATATTCCGCTTCTGATCCCGCGCATCCGCCTCTTTACTATTTTCGGCATCCCCTAGTGCATTTGAAAGCCCGGGGGCTGCGAATCCTTTTAGTCGTTGAGTGAAGGCCTGAGTTGATGCAGGAGCAGCGTGCCTGCTCTTGAGGATCTTCGCCCCTATTTCAGTCCTTGTCGAGATGGGTTTGTGTGACTGAGTGCCAACCATGGTAGTAATCGTCTTCTCGCCTATGGTAATTGTAGCCACCTCCGCCGCTGGTCGAGGATGCCTTATTCGATCGAAAGCGTTTTGAACGGCATTAGATCGTGGAGGTGGCACCACCGGAGGCGATAATAGCGTGTTATCCTGCTCTGTTGCCGCGACGGGAGCCGGCTGCTGGTCTGCGGCTCTTGCTTGTTGCTCGGTAAGACGCTGGTTGAAGTCCCGGACTCGGATGTCGTTAACATGCTCCACAAGCTCATGACCCGAACATGTATCCTGATTTTGTGACTCTACCATGTCTTCATCTTGGCCCAGCCTACGACCGTCATTTGGCTCTTCTTCCCCAGCTTTGAGAAGCTTCTTCTTGCTACTCGACCGTGCAGCATCCGAAATATTTACCTTCGGCTCCTCTCTCGTGCTTGCCTGATTTCGAAAGAAATCATGCAGAAAGCTCGGTTGCTTGCCATCCTCCTCTTGAGATGGTGATCCCATCGTGGGTGGTGATGCTGTATTAGTACGATTGCTCTCAGTAGAATCCATAGTGGACTCGCGCGCGATTGTCAGCTGCCTGTAAGCTGGCATATGAGAAGTCTGGAATTGAGACTGTGGCACGGTCTGTTCTTGCTGATCAAAGAGCTCTGTCAGGGAAGACTTCAACGTCTCTACAAGGGCAGCTGAATCGTGCAACATGATGGTGCGTTTATCCGGAGATACGTTCACGTCATACGCATTTGTATCCATTTCTAAATCAGCAAAGATGAACGGTGACTGCGAAACGTTGAACGACTTGTAAACTTCGTTAAAAGCTTTCGCAATCTGCGGTAAGCCACAAGGTCTCCCGTTGACAAAGAACATCTGTCGATCAGGAGTTTGTCTGCCTTCCCCAAAGACCGGACGGGAGATATGGCCCCTAACGAGGATCTTATGGTGAGAATCATCTGCGTCTTTGTTCTGAATTGTAGTGCGTTGAAAATCTAGCTGCAAATCCAGGGATACCAAAGCTGATAGCGTTTTGGCGCCATAGACGTTCGCTATATTCTCCCTTGTTGTTGGGTTCCCTTTGGTTGCAAAAACAGTAGCGTTCTTCCCCTTTGGCATGGCGCTCTTAACTGTGAACTTCACATTGGTACAGATACACGCATAAGCATGTAGCAGGCCCAGAACCTTCCCATACTCCTTCTTGATGTTCTTCGTGAGTTCTTTCCTTCGAACAGGCAGCTGTTCGAAAAGGCCCTCAACCACTGCCGTTGTGCCCTTTTGAGCTGCGACGACTGATGTACCCTGCAACCTTCCAGACGAGTCGAAGTCCAGCTTCTTCCCTTTGGGAGCTTCCTCCGCCAGTGCAGTAATAACACAGAACGTCGACAAGGCGCAAAGCGAGGACAGTGCTTCGCCTCTGAACCCAAACGTTTGCAGCGAGGAAAGATCGTCATACTTTGCTAGCTTAGATGTGTGGTGTTTGAGAGCTAGGCTCTCGTAATTGGAAGGGGAGATCCCACTTCCATTATCCTGTACTTCAATAGAATCGAGTCCGTTATTCTTGAAACGAACTTCCACACTCGTGGCACCCGCGTCGAGGCTGTTTTCGACGAGCTCTTTGACAACGGAGCAAAGATCGACGATGACTTGCCCAGATTGGATTTGATGTACTGAACGCGCCTCGATGGGCTTGATGGTTGCCATTTCCACCCATCTTTGGTTTGCAAAAAAGAATCGTCGTCACGCCTGCAGCAGCGAGCTTGAAATATCTAGCATCGTACAAGAACACGAATTATGTTGACCCTGCCTCCCAGTGATTTATGGTTTAGACCTAGATAGAATGGTACGGCTATTTTCTTAGAGGTGAAAGTCGCGCGACACGAGAGACACGTATCAAGCAGAGCTTACATGATTAGTTAAGAGTCTGGCGTTCGAGTCAGGTCACATCTTAATGAAAATTTGGCTGACTCGAATGGTGTGTGACGTCCCATGGCGATATCGATATCAGACATTCGCTTTGGAGTGCATGAGGAATGGTCCACGAGCTCACTTATATCCCCTACTAGTATAGGCGCATCGTTTGTCTAAGGACAGTTTCGCTTCTATATACTGCATTGCTGGAGTTTGGTGTTCCCACTTTTTGTGCTTTACCATCTGCGTGTATTCTGATTGGAGTGGCTACCACTCGTGGAAAGGCCTTCAAGAGTCAACTGCCAACACAGGTCCTCAGAATCATGCTATTGGACCAGCTTCCTACAGAAATAATTCATCATATAGCATCTCAACTTCCAGCTGCGTCCTCGATCATCAACTTCTCTCTGACAAACCGAAACATCCACGCACAAATTTCTGGGGACGACTATGCTACGTTCAGGTCGTTCGTGCAACGGAGTTTTCCTACAATAAGGACACCTCCCATTTGGAAGGAAGCAGCATGTATACTTACGACTCGGTCGCGCGCCTGGGACCGGAGAGCCTTTGTCGCAAAAGCGCTCATACCGCCAACAGACCGGCTCAACCCACTATATTATGGGAGAGCAAACGGCCCAAGCATTGGCTACGCTCCAGCAATAGACAGCTACGAAACATGGGATGGATCTCGATGGGCACAGAGACACGAAGTGCTTGTATGGGGAGCCGCGGGAAGGCTGATGATGCGTATCAAGGAACAACATTCTACCACGTGGCACACCCACAGAATTGATGACGATCATCTGCCGCAAAATGATATTCTGGATGTTCGCCTTCTCCGACCAAACCAAAGACAGGCTCGGACTGGAGAAGAAGTGATAATCAGACGAGCGAATAAGCAGATCACGAAGCTCGAACTAGACCATTATCATCGTGGCATTCAGGCAGGGACACTTTTTGACACAAAGAGTCTTGTCGCAGAAAGTATGGATGTCAGCCATACTTCCAAACCTCTGGTGGCTGTTTGCGGTCCAGAGCGCATTCATATCTTTGACGGAAATGCCAATGAACAGATTGCCCAGCCAATTTTTACATCGAATACCGGACAGGACTTCGTCTACAAGCACCGCAAACGCTGCACCACCTTTCTCGATAGTGAGCGACTGGCAGTTGGTATTCAGTACCTAGAAGGCCACGGCGTTGCGCCAATAAACATCTACCGCATCACACCGTATGGACTATCTAGCTCGCCAGAGCACTGTCTAGCATCTAGCAGCGGACACACTTCGGCCCCAGGACGGATTCGTACCAACACAAACACCATCGTGCCACTCGATGATGTCTCAAGCCTGAGTGGCAGAGCTGGCGATGTCTTTCTGTCAGGCTGGTCTGACGGGGTCGTCCGACTCTACGACATAAGAGCGCCTACCCACCCCAGCATGGAATTCCTAGATGGTGTTGACGAGGGGCAAATCCTGTCTTTGCTACCAATAGGCCATGAAAGATTCCTTGCCGGCAGTTTCCAGAACGCCTGTTTAAAGACTTTTGATTTAAGAATGCCAGGCGCTAAGGTGTACTCATATCTGGATGCTGCATCATCTCCATCAATCGTCTCAAACCCTGGCGCGATTACTTCTTCTAGAGAGGCCTCTCGCTCTCAACAGCAAGGGCCTGTGGATGAGGCAGTCAGCAGACAACTCAACATCTTCCTTGCCATCCGCGTTCAATGCCCCATGCGACTGTGGCGACCTCTGCCTGACCAGCAACTTTCTTCGCTGCCTCGATACCGAGGCCCTGTTTACTGCTTGTCAGCGCCATCTCGTGCTTCCCCTACAGTATACGCCGGGGTAGAAAATCATGTCATCCAATTGGATTTTGTATCGACCGATGACATCCGGAAAGGTCGTCAAGATCTATCTGCATTTGGGGTTGACATTGGTAAAGGGGGTAAGGAACAGATACTCAACCTTTCGTGTTATGAGAGACCACGCCCAGGTCATGAAAGCACGGACACTCTGCTCATACGGAACCAGACGAGCTGGAAGGGAACTGGATCAGGAGACGTGTTGGTCGATGACGGGTGGGACGAGAGATGGAGAATGGCGACATGGGACGCTCGCAGAAGCACTTCATGGCGCAGAAATATCCGGACAAGGTAGAATATTGTCAGCATAGATGTAGGACATGACTATCTAGACAGTCATGAATTCTTCTTCCTCGCAATCTCTGAAGATTCAACGTAGAAGAGGCCGCAGCAGCCAGCTTCGGCTGCCAAGCCGGAAGAATGCCATCGCCTCCGAACCCTTTGGATCTTCTCTCTTTCAAGAGTACTCCGTAATCTACGGCTCGGTGCAGGGGGTGGTCGAACCGCATCCGGTCAAGCGCCGTCTCTCACCACTTGCCGCTTTTATCTCTCGGCATCGACCGTGTCCCTCGTCTATATATTTGTCACCACCCCCCGGACCGTAACGGCAACCATGCTTGCATGCGACCCTCCATGACCACCACGCCGCTTTGTCCGCTCGTCCCCAAGCTATGTCAGTTGGCGACTGCGCCTGCTAGGCTGACACCAGGTTCACCTCGACTAGAGTTTTCCCCACGCCTGATTCGCCAATACCTTCCATGTCCAACACTGAGCCTGGTGCTGACAATGAGGCCGACGGGCTTGTCCAGCGTCCAGGGTCGGGCATCTTCTGTCTCTTACGAAGGTGCCGTGCCGACCTCACTGCGGCTCACCACCGCGCCACCACCGAGTGGCACGAAATATCTGTCCCCAAAGACCAATTTGCCAATCAGTAAATCCCGCAGCCGTCAATAATGCAGCGATCCCACTCCTTCAGCCTTGCGGCCCGGTTTTGCCCCAGGTGACAGTGCTACTACGCCCCAACGAGGAAGTGCTTCAAAATCCGTCTTGGGCATGGTGCCGTAGCTGTCGTTTCGCCCGGCAGCAGCTGTGAGGGGAGACACCGCCCATCCGACACCGAGTTATACCATAGAGGGATCCTGAAGCCGTTAGAACAGCCGATAGCACGGTCCGCTCGGTCCTGGCATAACGCCTCTCTGGTTGGGAATGCGACAGGATCAGCTAGGAAGATTCCGCAAGTCGAACGAGGCCTGATGCCGCAACCTTCTTCTCGTCACACACCAGAAGGGTGCGCCTGATGGGGTTGCATCTGACCACAAGGACGTGATGACAATGTGACGAAGGTCGGATAAGAGCTAACGCCAGAGCGTCAAAGCTTATTTAGGGTGAGGCACTGGACGCCTATGACAGGTGTGATCTCTCTCTTTATTTCGATTGCTCTTCTTTAATCCCTTCCAAATCAAGAACGCTGTCTCTACGGCCTCTGTGCTGGCAAGTTAAAAAGAACAGATTCCTTTCCGTATTCTCACGTGCGACTGTCCTCGAAGTAGTACGGGGGGCGACTGACCCGCACCGGCCACAACCTTGGAATAGCGAGAGGAGGTTGGCTGCGGCTGTGGACCGGCAGAGCCGATTGTTATGGATCAAAGGTGACCCCAGCAAAGGGAAAGACCATGCTGCTCTGCGGACGGGCACTGGGAAGAGATGGCCGTGGCAGGTAGAAGAAGCTGCCTGTTAGCTGAGGGCGTAGCTAATGATGCGTGTCCTGCCTGCGGGATGGGTTGTCGTACTCTTATGTGATACTGCGAGTCTAGTGCAGCTGTCTCAGCCTTGTCAACAAACTACCAATTTAGGGAGTGATTATTCGAGAGCATAAACATCTCTTCTAGCGTGATCAAGGTATTCGTCCACTTTCTCTTGAGACTTCTAAATATATAGAAAGCATGACAAATCATTAGGTTTTATTAGTAATCATCTTTGTCATCGATCTTGAAGATTCCCGAAGCTTCGCAATAGCAAATTACCCGACTATATAGTTTTGCTCTACCCCTGACCCCTCTATGAAATGGGGATATTGAAATAATATTAAATAATTAGCGAGTTATTTCCACATAAACGATTCTAGGAATCTTAAGCATTGTTGTTCTTAAAGTCACATATCCATATCTTTCCAGACACAGCGCCAACACCGATCATCTCTCCTAACACAGCTGAAAATGACGGTCGATACTCTGAGGGTAGCCATATTATGTTCTCTGAATTATATGTTATCCACATTCCGTTTGAACTTAAACCCCCGCCTTGATATTGAGGCTTTTGAGAATCTGTTGCACTGAGTACTATATTTGAACCTGATGATTTATTAATAGCGATAGTACCACTTTTAGTGTAAAGATATGAGCTGGTGATATCAAATAATATGCTCATGAGTGCATTACTGTTCTCGAGCGTCTGCAGGCACTCGCCGCTGCTTGCATCCCAGATCTTGACCATCTTGTCGTCAGACGCCGACGCGAGCTGTACCGAGTCGTGAGAGAAGACACGACCGAGTTAACCCCCCCGCTGTGGCCCTTAAGCGTCTGTAGGCACTCGCCGCTGCTTGCATCCCAGATCTTGACCGTCTTGTCGTCGGACGCTGACGCGAGCTGTGCCGAGTCGTGGGAGAAGACGACCGAGTTAACCCCCCCGCTGTGGCCCTCGAGCGTCTGTAGGCACTCGCCGCTGCTTGCATCCCAGATCTTGACCGTCTTGTCATAGGACGCCGACGCGAGCTGTGCCGAGTCGTGGGAGAAGACGACCGAGTTAACCCCCCCGCTGTGGCCCTCAAGCGTCTGTAGGCACTCGCCGCTGCTTGCATCCCAGATCTTGACCGTCTCGTCGTCAGACGCTGACGCGAGCTGTGCCGAGTCGTGAGAGAAGACGACCGACCTGACCCCCCCGCTGTGGCCCTCGAGCGTCTGTAGGCACTCGCCGCTGCTTGCATCCCAGATCTTGACCGTCTCGTCGTCAGACGCTGACGCGAGCTGTGCCGAGTCGTGAGAGAAGACGACCGAGTTAACCCCCCCGCTGTGGCCTTCGAGCGTCTGCAGGCAGGCACTCCATTCCTCTCCTATAGCCGGCTTTATCGTCATCCACTTTGGCTCCTCCTCCTTGAAAAGACCCTTTATCAGGCTGCGGGCCGGACTGAACATGAGTGCAGACACATATACCTGAAGAGGACTGTTTTCTATAGCCCACTTGTGATACATAATGAATCGACGTGCATCTCGAATTAATTCGATTAATGCGGATGCATCCGTTCTTTCCTAGATCAGGTCAGCATATATTATATAGATAACATCGCTGATCCAAGGATCACCTGAATTAAAGCCTCGAGTTTCGCCATTGAAACCACCCCGTTCGACATGCTTCTACAAAGGCTAAGAGCCTCGAGCCAGTAAAGGTAGCTTTTTCTTATAAAGCTGTCGACAGCGCCTCCACCCTGCAGATTGGCCCTGTGATCTGCACAAGAGTTAGGATTGTAGTCACAGAGGTGATCGACCCAGTAGATACATGAGTAGCGTGATGCTGCTAGTGGGTCTGAGTCCGGCTGTTTGACCCGCTCAATGGCATATCCTAAAGCACCTAAGCTATACATGTCTCGTCGTAGTGTCCTAGACATGACCTGGAGAGATTTCGAAAAGATTACATAGTGAGCCTCTTCCCTACCAGATGGGAATATTTCGTCGAGCGCCTCGGTGAATAAGAAGTCCTTCGCAGACTGATGCACAAAATAGATGGTATCTTCCCGAATAGTGAGGAACGAGCCACAAAGGCTAATGATTTCCCTCAACGCTCCTTGGTCATCGGCCATGTCTTCAGGCATCTCGACAAGAGATATTAGTTCTTTTAGAGTGATGGGTCGGTATACGATCGCGATCAATGCCAGTATCCGCTTGCAGAGATCAGCATCATCCGAGTTGTGTATTTGCTTCATCATTCGCTCGTAAAGAGAGACGAGTCCAGGTGGAAATGTGTTCAGCTTCGCGAGGATGTTCCAGCGTGAGATCTTCTCGAGATTTTGACAGACCAAAGCGACCCAGAGGAAAGTGTCATTCGCGTTTAAGGCCAAATACTGTAGTACGGCCGCTCGGGTTTTGCTGTCGTACTTCTTTAGCTTTGCCAGCTGCAGTGTCTTGTGCCGGATGTATATACCGACAGCTGTAGAAACAGACTCTGCGTTCAGCTCGAGACAGAGCCTCACTTTATGTCCGGCCCTCTCTAGCCGTTCCTCGATGTCGGGCCAGTTGCGGCTAGAGACGATCCACTTGACAGGACGAGATACAGGCGATTGCTGGATGATAAAGTCCAAAAGTTTCGGCAAGTCTGTGACGCATTCGTCGAGCGCGTCGATGATCAGATAGGTACTGTTCAAGCTCGGGTCTTGCAGAATATTTGTGAAGATCTCGGATAACGCAACCCAGGCATTTGCATCCTCGAAGAGGATTTTGCCTGCGTGATCATATTTCTTCCGTATATGGGAGATGAGTGACGGCTGCTGATCGATAATCAAGTACAACAAACCTCGTAACACCGCTATGGCGTTGTTAATTCGCGAATCAGTGGCCTGACAAAAGAAGTAGGACAGAAGATCCGATTTGAACATCGACTTCTTTAGTTCGTTGACAATCCCGCAGAGCAGCATGGTCTTTCCCTTGCCGGGGTCACCTTTGATCCATAGCAATCGGCTCTGCCGGTCGTGACGCCATTGTTGGAAGTCGGAGTTTTCAAGGATCCAGTGATATGAGTCCTCCAGCAGGCCGCCTTTGGTTTCCTCAATGCGCTTCTTGTCATCTTGGGGATCGGTAAGACGTAAGTGTTGGATGCATTCCCGGTCTTCATTCTCCCTTTGAGTCAAGGTCTTAAGCCGTTTGAACGCTTTCTCTTCCCCCTCACCATAGAGAAGCGGCATACAGATCTCGAATATACCTAGTAACGAATAGGCCTTATCTTCTTCGCGCTTGGTCAGGCGGCGTTCTGCCCATGAGAATCGCTCATCGACGCTGAATTGGGATAAGGTGGCTCCTCGAAGCGCTGAATCAGCAATGCCCGTTATCTCGTGAATTTGTTGTCTTAGAGATTCTTTGTTACCAAGTCGGTTATGTTCTTGCGAGAAGAACTCGACTGAACTAGGGGCCAGAAGCTCTTGGAGTGTCCAACCTCGAGTAAACCATCTGCTTTTTCGGAAATCTGATTCCCACGGCTGCAGGTTAGATTCCTCTTTGGTGTCAAAAATAGGGCTTGAAACATCCGATAGATAGACATAGCAACCATCCGCGTTGCGGTACCAGCGAAACATGGAGTTGATAGCCTCCGAGAGTTCGGTCAAATCTGCCCTGTTGATGCAACAGGTGTCCACCCAAAAATATTCCAAACCATGTTGTTTGGCTTGTTCCCCACAGAACCGGATCTTCTCATAGCCAGGCTTGTCCTTGCCGATGCCCTTTGTCAGATCTTCGAAGGTGACCTCCTCAGCATCCGCACCCCATGTGTGTGAGAGTATTGCATAAGGAGGGATTGTATCCTTGCCAACGAATTTCTCGCTAAAACTAAACTCCCCGGTGTTACTTCGTTGTAAAAGTCGCATATTTCACATGGACTTGGACGGTAGCAAAGGGTGGGAATATGGTTTGTCCGGACTCAAACGCGGGCAGGTCGGGTGAGAGACGGGAGCACGGCAAGTCGCCTATCGGCCGGGAATGTTATACCTAGCTATCGAGATTAAGAAGTAAACTGGTGCAGAGAGAGCACTAAACCAACCGAAGCATTGTATGAAAGCGAAACAGTTCAAGAGGAAGGATGAGAGACAAGCCTCGCTCGGGGCATATGGAAGCTGCTTGCCTAGCCCAAAGTGTGGCGTGGTAAGGCAGACGTAGATAATCTTGGAGACACGTGTCCGTCAACCGAGCAGTTTTGACAGCTCGAGTGCGTTAGCAGGGAGGGCGGCCGACCCCACACCGGGCCTACATCCTTGTAATGGCGAAAGAAGGTGGGCTGTGGCTGTGGCTTGACAGTGTTATTATCAAGTGAAGTCCTTTGAGAAATAGTCTGCGGGATTTGGTACTATCCCCATGTCATCAGCTTTATTTTGCATCCTACGCGCATGAAGCTAGTGTGACTTACGGTAAGTGCGATCGACAACAAACGATATCTCGGCCCCCTCGATCAGATAGTGAACCGCGAGTACATTACGGTACGATCAAGTCAGCAAATCTTGTCGTCAAGGACGCAGTGGTGCGAGACGAGCTACAGTACTAGGTCAAAAGTTTGCGTTCAACCCCACTTTTACACCAAAAAGGGCACTTTTCAATCCAAATTATACAGCGTTGATGGGTTTTGAGAAAATCTGGTTGCAAAGGCTTGTAAACCTTAATAAAGCGATCATCTCAAGAGTAATTTCATTCTCGATGTGTCACTATGCGCTTATAGGTCAAGGAGAAAATTTGAAGATCTGAAAATTGAATATTTTCTTGTGTGTCAGGAGAGCTATGGTTGGGCCTAATATACAAGACGAAGCGTGGAGAAAAGGAAACGAAAGTGGGAACACAACGCTCTATATACATGTCCGTGCCCCTTATCTCGCTGAGGCCAGGTACAGACAACTGTGGGTACCTGTCGTCAGTGATGGCTAGAATAGCGGCGGGGAGCTGGGTCCGAGATGAGCTCTGTGAGCCATGGTCAGTGCCACAGGGAATATGGTCCTTGGCGTAGGTCGCGGGAGGATTCGTAACATTGTGTGGGACGCCATACAGAATTTTGAAACTTTTTCAAATCGATCTCCTCTATTGCTAGACAACATAATAGCCTGAGAGAAACGCTGAAAATAATATATGAAGAAAAGATCAAACTAATAAATCTGTATTGATAGTAAAAACATTGAATGTAACTATCATTCTAGATTTTGAGGAGTAATTCAATGAAAAGTGCCCTTTTTGGTGTAAAAGTGGGATTGAACGCAAACTTTTGAACGGGAAGTGTAGGCTCATGCTTCTGGGTCTTGGCGGTGGCAGATGGCTTCCTCTAATCGTCCAATGTTGTTCGGCCTATTAATACCCACAAACACGACTGAACGTGGAAAGTTACCGATTGTAGAATGAGAACTAGAACGTCGGGTAAATCTGCTTTCAAAGTTAGTCGTCGATGTAAAATGGGAAACTAACCATCAAATATCGCACAGATAACAGATGGAGCGAATCCTTGGATGATACTGGGGAGCCATGCTGGGAGGCTGCTAATATGACCTGTCTAAGATACATAATACGAATGCGATGCACCTGTACCGCAACCAAAAGTATACCTGGCTTTGTAGATAGAGGTATTGCCAGTACCAGACGGCCATTGGCCGCCACTGTAGGCATCTGAATCAAATCGACATCAGATTCATATTTCAAAGGTTTCTCTTTACACCTACATTCTGCCACGTGGGTTACTTTGATTGGCCTAATTGACAAGAAACTGGATACCCTTAAGGAAAATAAATACCACCTACGATTATCACCCTAAGCAAAACAATACTTCACTCTATACTTGAAGCCAGATTATCAAAAAGTTTGTTCTTCCCCTGATGACAAATTAGGTCTAATAGGTGATATCAGAACGAAAAAATATGTGCCAACGTTTAATGACAAGGATTGTCTATCGATGCCAACAGTGGCTAACACCGGGAGTCAGCCTGTACTCTTGCCAATGGCTCAGCCAACATGTCCCGTAACGTACCTCAAGAGCAGTGTACAATTTGGTGTACCTGCAGAGCATGACTCTTGAAACGGTCGTGATCCTCAAGTCGAAGTCCCGCCAGAGAAAAAGAGGGGTGGGGACAGGTAAACGGCTCGGCGTGATAGCGAAGGTGCTGATCCTGAACATGCCGGGTGAGCGAATAGGGTCTTGCATAGCATCTAGTCCGACTCTCCGGAGGCAAATGATCATCCCCTAAGCAGAAAAGACATTGGGTTCCCGGACATTGTAAAGGATAGGTGTCAAGATCGGTATCTAGAGGACACGATGTGACGTCTGCCGGGCCCTTCGGATAGACAGAGATACAGGGCTCTGGATTAACATGTTCTAGACGGCACCGTAGTCGTGGGGATTCACGTCGGCCGCATAGAGAGGCATACAGTCTGATGATCTTAGAACTATTTTCCACCTGCTGTTGAGGAGATGTAGGCAGAGACCGGGGGAAGAGTAGTCTTATAAGATCCTCACGTTCAAGGAAGCGGAATGGCTGTTCATCAGGCCTGGGGGGTTCTGGGTTGCCTGTGTGCTGATTCTGAAGGCAGATCACTCCAAGAGTCTCAAAATATTGCTTCCGTGATTGTTCAAAGACTGCCCTTAGCTTTCGCTTAAAAAGGGCATTATGTTCTCGTTTTAATTGAGCATGATGGTCAAGTTCTGCTTGTAATTTCAGATCGTGTTGAGCATTCCTTGTCGCTTGTGCAAGCGAGCGATAGCGATTTATGATGGTCTGCGTTTGGGAATCAAGCATTCTTCTAGCCTCGATAATTTCGGTGTCTTCTTGCACTTGATGGCGGTGTGCAGGTGTAGGCTTGGTAGGGGCGTTAGGATCTCGTGTAAGAGACGTGTGGCCGATCAGCTTCATGGTTGATTTATCTGATGGTGTTTCAAGGAAGGCAGACACAATGTCAGTGTCAACAACCTCGTTCCGGTAGCTGCGTTCGTGGATTGAACCATTCACATGGCCCATCGCCTGGCTACGGACTCCCTCTACCCTTGATCAGAAAGGCTCAACAGGCTAATCGAATCAAGATAAACACTTACCAGGAAGCACCGCTGCAGCTGCACGACGAAGCGTCTTAAATTCAAATGGTTCCTTCAATCCAAACGATTTTCCCAGCCGCAGATTCCAATTTGCCATCTGATGGTATTGTGTGGCCAGTGTTGGTGAGGTCTCAAGGTTTCCTTTCACATCACGAACCGTCCGACGGAACACGGGAGTTTGTTTCCACTCCGCAGCCCATTTAATGGGCACGGATTGAAGGCGATCGGGGATTTTGATTCCATAGATATCCTCGGGTTCACGGATCCATTCACTTACGAAGGCACCATCCTTGAATGCTATTCCGCAAATCGCTTTGACTAGACAGAAGGCCGGGGTATCATGGCGCTCGGTAAACTTGATCTTCGGCCTAATAACCTTGGTGAGTGATGAAGTTGATTCCCTTTAGTAGACAAACTTACGGGTTTCCACGATTGCGTCTCCCCTTCAAAAGTCGCAACTAGACTAACATTCCCAGTTTGACGCCGCCTGGCTAGTCGGGATCTCGGAGAGCAAATAGTTCAATGTCTCTGTACTCCACTGCTTGGTTCTGTCTAAGATAACCGCTAGACTCTACAATGGTTCCGGCACGAGCGGTAGTTGAGGCACAGAAGATAATCATGGTCGCATGTTGGAGTCGTTGTCGTTCACCGGGATAGTATTCATCACTGCTGACCCAATGGTAGTGAAGGATAGCAAGTACATCATCAGTATTCATAACTGCTCGAAATCGGCCAGTCTCCTCAAGTTCAAATTGGTCAATCAGAGTTCCATAATAAACTGCATTTCCCATGAGTAAGCCAAACAATAGAAAATGCATGGTGTTACTCACATTCTTCATGTCCATCTTAATAGCTTCACTCATGGTAAACCGTGTGTGATATTTGACGGCGACCCTCCAGGCTTTGCCGAAGGTGAAGAGTGACGATGATTTCGTAAATCTGGAGATCTGACAGCTCCATTCCAAAAAGGTTCTAACGATTTCAAAGGATAAACCATTCTGGCAGACTGTGATAGGATCGGAGCTGGGGAAGTAGCTAGACTCGGCATGAACCTTCTGACAGAACCTAACTTCTTGCGTGAGGATAAAGGTAGAATGTAAAGGCTGATGAAGAGAGAGAACTTACTGGGTCCAGCGTTTCCAGGCACCTGTCATTAAAATAATGGTGCCGTCGGCGTACGCAGGCGCTAAGGGTTGACTACTTTCGTCGAGCTGCCCGATCAGCTCCGTGAATGGTTTATGAGACCTTTGAGGTCTTTTGGTTACCCGATTTTCACTGTTGAGCTTCGAGATCCCCATAGTTTACTCTGACGTCTAGTGATTCAGATGTTCAAGTGAGCAATCTAAGAAGCGCGATTGTAAAGATGCCCTTTTTACAGAAGGGACTGCTCACTAATACTACAAGGTAGGGGCTCGAGGGGGGTGTATTTGTTATCCCGATCCAGACCCCTGTAGCAAGTGCACGGTTACTCCAATTCCCTCAGAACGAGGCACAGGAGCGGTTGGCGCTTGGGAGAAACCACTCTTAGCGTACGTGCAGAGGGTGGGAAAAGCAGCAATAATGAACTGCCAAAATCAGCACCCTCTGCACCCAGACATCGAGATACTCCGTACGTCCATCAACTTCCACACTCTCATTGTCCCTTGTCTGTATTTCCAGCAGAAAACCCCCTTCCACCACTTCCCCCCGAACCCCTCCGCGCAGCATTACCGCAACACCTGGACGATGTCGCACAGGCCCACCCCCGCCGCGATATCGACCCACCTCCGCGCGCTATACCGCTCCCTGCTGCGCGAACTGCCCCCGACCGGCAGCCTCTCGCACCGCAGCGCGCTCCGCCACCGGCTCCGCAGCAGCTTCAGCACCACCACCACCACCACCACCAC